TTCTTATCCCTTCTTTCATACCAATTCCGTGAATTCCCTTCAGTTTTGGCCTTGAGCATTGACGAGTCAGCAAATGCTGGTTCAAAATCCGACCCAGAAGCCGCACCCAATCCACTTTCAAAAGAAGAATTAGACAAAATCATGTCACCTTTCGATCTCAAACGCCTGGAGTCATATGCAAATAACATGCTTGATTATCACGTCATCTTGGACCTCATTCCAACACTTGCGAATTTGTATTTCACTGGTCGCTTGAAGTCTAATATTAAGCTAACTGGTATTCAATCGTCGATATTACTTGCCGTTGGGTTGCAGAGAAAGGATCTGACAGCCATTGAGTCTGAATTGTCTCTTCCATCATCTCAACTCTTGGCCATGTTCATCAAAATCATGCGTAAGATGAGTTCACACTTTGGTGACTTGGTCTCTGGTGCTATTGAGGCTGAGATGCCAGGACGAGAGAATATCGGTGTCAGTAGAGAAGATGCAAATGAAGCTTTGGACGATGAGGTTGTAGATGATAGGTTCGTACCTCTAGAACAAGGGCTTGAAGAAGAATTGGAGGAAGGTGGAGACGAAGCTATGAAAGCTTTGAAGGAGAAGCAAAGGGAGCTTATTGATGCTCTCCCTTTAGACCAGTAAGCTTTTTGATCTATATATCTGAGATACTACAATACTAATTCGCTTTTCAGATATGAAATTGAAGCAGGAGCACCAGGGTGGGCAGAAGCCGAGAAGCAAGTCAAAAATGCTGCTAAATCCGGAAAGAAGGATATAGTGGTCGGTGTAAAGAGTGCGAAATCCAAGAGAAAGGCAGGAGAATCTGCTGCAGAAATCTATGAACAGGAGATGGGTGAAAAGGCGCATAAAAAGGCAAAGAAGGGTGGTAAAAAGGGTCATTAGTTTTCTCATTTCAAATTGTATAATCCAACATCCTGTATATACCTCTGTATTTAATGAAAGAAATGATATGGAATATCTCATACGTTTAAACTCTCTAAGTAATGAACCTGAATTTGACAATGACATTGAGCAAATGCGTACGATTGGCAAGCCACATGTGAAAGAAAAACTGCCTAAATCATGACACCACCATATAAAACTTTTCAAACTTTTCAAACTCCTCCAACTCTTTACACATTTTTCATCTCATATGGAAACAATCATGACGGATACAAAAGATACAAAATCAGAAGCTTCTTGGTGGAAAGCATTCCCCAAAGCCAGAGCAAAATGCCCAGAGCTCACTGCGGATGATGTGATGAAGCTGTTTGATGATATGGATATCACATCTGAGCCGAGATCTTTCTTGTTGGTAGATGTGAGAAGAGATGATTGGGTGGTATGTATAATCCTCATATATGACATGGAAGATACAGTTTACGTACTCTGAGAGCTTTCTCCAGCAGGGATCTATATGATACCATACCATTCTCTACAAAACTCAGTCCAAGGTTGAGGTTGAATATCTCTGATGTATATGTGTGTGCAGGGCGGAACCATCAAAACCTCACTTAATCTTCCGGCTCAGAGTTTCTATCAATCTCGTAAGTCGCTGTTTGAAGTCTGTAATAGAGCGGGTTTGACAAAGATCATTTTCTATTGTGGTATGTACTTTTCGTGTCTGGGCTTGAGAAATGAGATGTTGATAAGGTGTAGGATCGTCAACTGGGAGGGGACCAAGATGTGCAGGTTGGATGCAGGATTATATTGATGATATAGCGAAGTTTGGGAAGAAGAGTAATATTGAGGTTGCGGTTTTGAAGGGTGGTATTAAGGGGTGGGTAAAGGAGTTTCAAGGGATGCTCATGGATGGGTTTGAGGAGGGGAAGTGGGAGGAAATAAAGTAAGAGATGGATACAGATATTGTTTTCAGTCGCATTTCACATCATAGCATCCCCAATCCAATGAGAAGCAAAAGTTTCTCGGAAAAGAACATCAGCTCGAGGAATTATGGTTTATCTTGCCAAAAAGATTCTTCCATCTCCTCTTCCGTGCTCCTCAATATGCAATTTGTGTTTCATATAACCTGTAAACGCCCTGGTCCAGATACAATTCTGCGATGTCCTTCCCATTCATCTTTCATCCTGAAGATCTCCGACAAACCAAATTCCTCGACATCTCTAATGCTATTCGCGGTTTTCCCTTCCTCCACCTATTCTCTCCAATGCCTCGAGCATAACAACTGAGTTTCCGCGGATAACCTGAAGTGCATGTTAACGTTTGAGTATGAGTCTGCGGGAAATGCAATAACATACAACCATCCCAATCTTTACTTTCTCACCACCATCTTTCTCCTCAACTGCATCGTCTAGCACAATGTTCAAGAAAACCTGTTTATGCGCGTTAGCTAGATTGAATTGGGATGCGGGCATGAAGAAGAACTCACATCGTAACCTCTCAATACACCAATGACCTTTCTGCTACCGTTTAACTGCACAAATAGTCTCTTATCGAGGTACTACATCGTCGCATAGTATTAGCCATCAATTTCAACTCTCCCATATTCCCTAATCCTCGCGCAATAGCTCGGATTGATCAATATGCTTTCAATCTTCCCCCTGGTCGCATTGCTGCCAACTCTCAGAGATACCGAACACCAGAAATCGCACATACCTTCTTAAGCTCAGGCTGAGCTTGAGGCATCTTGACGATATGTTTTTGTAGGATTCGTCGGGTAGATGATATAAAATTGGAAGCTTGATTGCTTGCGACGAATGTACACCAAAATTTCGTGGCTGTATTGAGGTTTCGTGAGGCTGATGTTAGAGGTCACGTGGTGATAAGAAGGTACATTTGGGTGACTTTTATTTATCGGGATGGCGAGGCGGAAGACAGCTTCATTGCATAAGACGCGTCTTTCTTTATTACGACTAGAGGATTGTATTTCTGGTTCATTGGCTAGTAGAGAAGACTGATTGATATACCTGTTTTACGGAAAGAGAAACTTCAGATTCAGATTTGAAGACAGACAAGATGTCGGCAGTTCGCAAACCCCTCAAGAAATCTAATTTGCGCCGGAGTATCGCATTCGAAGATCTAACGCAAGATGAAGACGATACGTCGAAAACTGATACTCCAAACGACGATAGCTCTTTGGACAAACCTCCGAGTGTCAAAACTGCCTCTTTCAAAAAGAAAAAGAGACCCGCATCTTCTCGTCTCTCCTTTGGAGTAGGCGATATCATATCTGGCTCCGATGCCGAGAATCTGGAGGACGATGAATCGTTTACGTTGGTGAAGAAACCTCTTTCGAGGAAGGTTACAGAGGGGAATACGAAGAAGATTAATACGAGAGTGCCATTGCCGATGAGGACGAGGGATGAAGATGGGGATGGGGATGGGGATGGAGATTCAGATATGGGCAGACCGAGCTATAGTAAAGATTACTTGAAAGAATTGAAGAGTTCGCAGGCTTCTGCCATGAGAGAACTGGCCGATGTGGAGGTTGGGGGAGGAGAAGAACCGTTTCTCGATGCGAGTGAATTGGAGGGAGCAATGGTTGTGGATGTACACGGGAATGGAGATATAGTTGGAGGATTTGGAGGGAGTGCTGCGATCATACCTACCGAGGCGGAAATTCGAGAAAAGAAAGAAAGAAGAGCGAGAATGGCGAGGGAAAAAGATTTCATCTCGTTAAACGATGATGAACCAGATGGAGGAAGAATCACATCTCTTCTTCCTCGACAAAAGAAACCAGAATCAAGATTAGTGCGCGACGATGAAGAAATCATGGAAGGCTTTGAAGAATTCGTAGACGATGGACGAATTTCTCTCGGGAAGAAACAAGAACGCGAGGAGAAACGACGTCGGAAGAAAGAAATGGCAGATCTAATCCAACAAGCCGAAGGTAGCTCGGATGAAGAAAGCGACGACTCAGAAGCGGAAAGAAGAGCCGCTTATGAAGCTGCCCAAACGAGAGCGGGTATGGATGGTCTTCATAAACATGATGATGCGGTTGCTGCGAGGGAAGAAAACCAGGTCCCGCCGAGAATCACGCCGATTCCGGTACTATCGGAGTGTTTGGAAAGATTGCAGAGTACGTTGAGTACGATGGAACTTGAACTCTCCAAGCGGAAGAAGAAAATCGAAGAGGGAGAAAGGGAAAAGTTGGAAATTGCGAAGAGAGAACAGGACGTTCAGGTATTGTTGACCCAAGCGGGTCAGAGATATGCGGCGCTGAAAGCAGATGCGAATATCAAGGAACTGGAAATGAATGATGTGAAGGGGCTCGTGGATGCTTCGAGCGAGATGGCAAGAGAGAAGATTGGAGGTGCTGATAGGGGGTTGGAAAGTTTTGGGAATACACCGGTGAGGAGGGACGAGGTTGTTGATGGGTCTTGAGGGGGTTGGGATGTGTAAGATAGGATGTTGACACCATTGTATTATCAAATCGAAAGTCATTTCGCGTAGGCACTTTTGGGCAGTCTCGGGGGGGTTCATTATATACCTAGGTATCTTGGTAGCTTCAAAGTCATCGTGTCCGAATCCCCCATGTCAAAATCATCTTTATGAAAATATACAAGTAACTTAAACCACTCTTCCTAATACATATACGGATAACTTATCCATTACCTTGAAACTCTGCAATAACTATACCCCCTAATACTCATTAAACCCGAATCTTCCACAGCTACACATCACCATCATCATCACCAACATTCCCACACTTATCAAACCTCAACTTCATCCACAAGACTCGTCAAGAATAGCACCATACAATGAAAATTGAAATATTAACAAAACTTACCGTCGTCATGATCTACGTGATACCATATCACGTCATACATACATATCACTCATATACATCACACACATCATATCTCCATCTATCTCACCTCGCCTCATCTCGCCTCGTCTACATCCCCCCTATTCCATTCCAAAATATTCACCCCTTATCAGTTAATCAAATAGCGTACCTAATCAATGAATCAATCAATCAATTTTCACAACCAATCATTCATCCAATTTTCATAATTCTCTTTCTTTCGTCCCCTATATTCATATAACCATATATGAATTCTCATTTGCATTCTTATTCTCAACAACTACCTACTAGGTACCTGCCATGCATGCCATGCCGCTAACTCACCAACATAACAAATAAACGCTAACTGCAAAAGCAATGCTCTTCTTAGCGTCCCTCTTCCTATTCCTTTCATACCTAGGTACTTTTTGAATTCCAGCCTCTGACCAAGAAAAAACAATCCATCCATCCATCCATCCATAACCCACACCGAATCAGATCAGCCTGACCCACTATCCATCACCATATCCCAATGCAACCAACCAACCAACCAACCGCTAGCGACGCAAGTGACGCGGTGCGAAGCTTATTTTTATGTTTATAAAGGAAGACTGAGCCATACTCAAGTACAAGTAGAAGCAAAGGTGAAGCTAGAGAGTAAAAAGCACACAAGTAAACAAGCAAACACGCCTCGAATGCACCATCACCAATACGCCTGCCAAACAGCCAAAATTAACATAATAACACAACTTAAAACTCCTTTTCTGCTCTCCTTATTGACTCAGCCACACAATCCCCTAACCAAACCAAGTAAACCACATAAAAGCTGCGCCAACCACCCACAGCACTCTCCAAATACTACACCCCATCTCCCTCAGTATTCTCCCCATTTTCGTAGTTCTAAATCCTCCCCACCATACCACTATCCTCCAAGGTTTATAATTCCTCCTCCTCTCCAACTCCGCTTTCCTCTTCCTCTCCCTTTCCATCTCCATCTCAAATTCCCTCTCACTTTCCCACCTAATTCTCCCCTCCAACCCTCCATAATATCCCGCCTTCTCGATCAACGGTTGAGCCTGTTGATACGGAACTCCAATCGAATATCCCTGTCCCGGTAACCCATACCCATTCGCCGGACTCGAGGTTCTCGTTCTAGAAGTACGACTTGCGAGATTGTTAGCCGTAGCTGTACTCGAAGTGGACGAGTTCCCTTCACTCCTCCGATCTTTTTCCTCTTCATCTTCGCGTTTGAGATCTTTGATACTAGTTGGCAACAGCGAGAATTCTGAATCAATTGGACTACCCGAGCCTGAAGGAGATCCCTTCGAATCAAGAGCGAAAGGGGCAAGATTTGTAAAAGGCACGAGGATCGCTCGAATAATCAGGAGAAGAAGTGATATCCCCACCAAAATGCCATAGTTTATAAGAATTCCAATTTGATCTGGTAATAAACAAAGATGCGATTCCATCGTCGTGGAAATATGTGCGTTTTCAGCCCCATGACCCGTAGGAACCGAGTGTAAGGGTTTTCCATCCGCGCCAACTGGATTCCACATACTTAGCATGAGAAAACCAGGTTTTCGTATCCCCATTGCCCAATTCATACTTTTGACTGTTATTTCTCGGGCGTGATTTTTGTCTTCTGGATGTACTAATTCACAATAATCGTGGTCATCGCCTGAGAAGACAGAAACTACATTGCCAATCTTTGAGATTAGTTTTTTGGAGTCGTCATCGCCGAGGACATTTTGGTATTGGTATCCTTTGGATACGCTGATGGCATTTCTATGATCGGGTATGACTGGCATGGTCTGACCCTTTGGTGGTGGAGTTGGTGGCCAATGTTCTCGAAGAGGACCGCATGGAGTTCCAGAATTTCGATATAGTGGTACATGAGTAAGAAGAATAGTAGGAAACTCAGCGCCATTTGGTCCAGGATCTAGAGTTGGTAAGTGTGCGTAATCTGCCAATTCAACATCTTGAACTGAGTGAGAATATCGTATAGCTCTTTCCTTTCCAGCCTGAAAGTCCAACTCTCTAGCCACGGCTTTTCGTTTGGAGACTTGAACATTGTTCAGAAATTCCTCCACTGGTTTGGTGATAGGTGCAGTTTCACTAACTGGACGTTCTGATGCTCCAGCGCTCAATGATACTGAATCTACAGAAACAAAGGTATGGTTCGCAATAACATCCACTCTGTTTACATCTCCAAAGTAAACCTCAAACCGATCACGAATGGGCACCTTGATTTGTGCGCCGAAGCCCAAATCATGATTTCCTGGTAAACTTGCAATGAGCTTTCGTCCTCTCTGCCCAACTCCAGCTTCTGTTCCTCCCAAATTCCAATTGTCCGAGAAGATCTTAGAGAATCGACCGTATTCCTTCAGCCAAAAATCCTCTCCGTATCTTTTTCTCCAACTCTCGAGATGCTTCTGCTCTTTTGCTGGTCGTCTTTCTTTTGCCCATGCTTGATCTTCTGAATTCCCATGCGCAGTCTTCCATTCTCTTCCTCCGTCAAATAAATCTCCCAAGAAAAAAATCGTATCTGGATGTAATTGTTTCGAAAGTTGTATATAAGACCTCTTCATATAGTTATCCGTATGCCAAACGGTGAAAGTCGACAACGGCCATGGCCTATCAGGGTATGAATGCGGATCCGTCAATTGAGGATCTGCCAGAAAGATTAAGTGATGGGGCGTAGTATTTGGAGGCTATTCAAATCGAACATAATCATCAGCCTCGTCCATCCATCTCAAGAACATTGCCCTTTCCTCAAGAAAACTCACCCATCTCTCCCATTCCTCCCACGCACAAGCTCGCACGGCTTCTTCGAAAACCCAGCGCTCCCCAGACAACAAAACGACCACCCAAACACACACCAACAAATGGGGTAAACTTAAAGCTCGTCTCCAACTCCAATCTCTCAACCACCCCCTCACTAGCCTCGGTATTCTCGATGTCTTCCCCCCAACCATATTGAAATTCTGTTGGTCTGCCATCCTTTGTAGAGACACTGCCAAATCAGTCGGCAGAACCAATAATAACCTTTTCCAGATCGAAGGAGGTTCTCTCAAATGATCGCGCGTCGAATGGGTATATTGAGAATGATGAGAGAAAGCTGCCATTCTGATAACTTCCTATTGTGGTTTGCTTCCCCTACCTATGTAGTATCAAATGACATCCATACCCGAATCCCCTTGGCTAAGATCCGGTACCAAGGGATGATGACCAAAAATTATGTTATATTAAGGTACGTACTCCTCTTATGTGTAATACAATACCTATTCTGGGTATTTGTGGAAGAATTCGTATTTGCCTTTTTGCACATCTAGAATTGGGGTGAATGGTTATTTCGTGTCCTCCAAGTAAATTATTTGATTACGACGCTGGGAAACCTAAGCTTGGGGCTTATGGGAATTAAAATTGGGGATCAGATGGAAGGTCGAGCCCTGGAATGACCCTGTATCGTAGATTATTGCGCGATAACAATGGATAAATAAGGGTTGAATTCAGGGGCTTGGACTAGGATCGTTTAGGTGAAAGAAAGTTTATGTGTTCATTTATTTATTTATTTATTTATTTATTTATTTACGTAGTGGGTGTTTATTTGAAACGATTTTATTAAAGAGAGCTAAATCACTCTATATATATATAACTTAAGCATAGAAGCATATCTATTACTATATAAGGATATACATTGGTTAGCTATATAGTAAGGTTAGACGATACTGAGTGAAGGAGAGGAAAGTTTTCAAATCAAGTAGACTAACTATTATGTGGATATTGAATCAGGCTATATACATACATCCCTTTCCTCGAAATTAGCCTGCCTCCACGGCAGTGGCCCCCGGAGGGCCAGCGGAGCGTCATCTAAAGCTTCCTACTTAACCATCCATCTCACAAAATATAGTACTATTGTCAGCTCTTCGAGTAGCCAAGTCTAGTCTCTCATATAATAAAAGCCAGCAACTTGTCACCTCTGTGTGATTAGTATAAAGCTATTCATGGGGGCAAGCCCCCAAACCCCCCTTGCTCGCTGCGCTCGAAACAAGACTAAGTAGACAACAGCGATACGGAGGACTGGATATGAACAAAGCATAATTTCCGTTCAATAGCTATCAAGTTAGTTCAGAAACATTCAAAACTCTCAGACCAGATTAGATACAACAATATAGATCTATACTGAAACACGGGGGGTATCAATCATCATCATCGTTATCATAAGTATCATAGAACCTCTTCTTCCTGTTCATCCAGATTCTCTTTCAAGAAGACATGGCTGTTCCAACCCATTCTCCTCACTTGAATCTGCATACTTTCAAGTACTCTCTGTTTGACCCCTTTCTCGCTTCCATTACTACCATCAACCACATCCGTGCCTACAAAAGCTCCATGTGTACTTGAGAAGCCATGAGGTTTCAATACCTCCCACATGCCAGCTACCTCGTCCGCACTTAAGGGTATCATATTGGGAATGCTCCACATGAAAGCATAGCTATTCATTCCATCCGGTCTTGTATTTTTTTCTCCTCCAGGACCTTTACTCCAATCTCCCAAGGCACTTGGTGTGGTTACCAAAGTATCCGCTACCAATAATCTTTCATGAGCAAGACACACCAAACTTCCTGGAAAATGGCCACCAAGCTTCAGCATCTTAACGCCAGTCTTCTCACCTCGTATCTCAAGCTCCTCTTCTTTTCCCTCAATAAATGTCCTAGCTTTTCCCATTCTATCAAGCCGGTTCAGCCAACTCTTGTCCTCCCAACTCAAATAGACAGGACAATCAAATATCTCTGCCCAATCCAAATGTGTAGTATAATAATGCGGGTGAGATATCACAATCGCTGCTAATCCACCTAACCCATGAATCCAGTCCACAGTCTCATCATCCACATAGGTTATGCAATCCCACAGCACATTCCCAAGCGGTGTCTTGATAAGGACCGCTCGTTGCCCTATCGCAAATTTAGGTTCGGTCCATAAATTCCAAAATCGATCATCGTTGTCAAATTGTTTCCATTTATTCCTATATTGACCCCCAGCTTTCAAAGCCGCAAGTGTAGTGAACGCTTGACCACTAGGTGGTACAAATTGGCGTGGATCATCGCATATTCGACATCTGGTAAGAATCGATCGTTCTTCGGCATCAAATTGTGTACCGCATGCTGTACATATGAGTAGATGTTCTGAGTTGGACATGATGGATGCTGGTGGGGTTTGGTATTCGTGACGAGGATCCTCGAAATCGTGAACAGCACCGTCGTGAACTAGGGTTGCCGGTGTCGAGATGGAAGAATATGGAGTTGAATGAGAAGACATCTTAATAAGAAAGTTAAATATGTGGCAGTGTTGGACGAAATCTTAAAAAGAGGGGTAGATAGTAATCAGATGATCCGGGAATGGGTGTTGACAACTTGACGCTTATTAGTAGGCACGTTTATAGGTTATATAGCCAAGATAGTCGAGGAAGTTAGCTTTCTTCTAATGTGATTTGTATGAAGATTTGGGTCGAGTTTTTGTTTAACACAGCACACTATACCACACTAAGGTTATATACCGAGGCCGATTTGGTCGATATAACCAAAACCTAAAAATAGATTTCTACCTAAAGCAAAAAAAATTCTAAAATTTATATAATACAGCCATAAAAAACTTGAAAAAAATATTTATATTATACAAAACTATATATAATATATCTTCAATTTTTCGAATAATATAATAGCTATAATAATATTATTAAATTATAATACTTATTTTAATAATAAACCTTACTTTTTATTAATTATATAAAGCTTATATAATTATCTTAATATATTTAATCTTATAATAAATAAATGTATTTAATATAAACAAATAATTGAGTTAATTTACTTTTTAATTAAAATTCTTTTATTTAATTTAGAGAAAGTTAATAATATTAAATTATATAATCAATATAATAAAATAATATTTAATTTTATTATAATTAATAATTCTTTTTTCTTTTTATTGATCTTTAATATATTAAATTCAAAACATTTATATAATTTATTAAAGTCTATATTCTTTGAATTATTAAAAGTTAATAAAAATCAATATGTTAGTTTTTTTTTATAATATTTATTAATATTTTATTAACTAAAATATTATTTTATATATATAAATTATCTAAAGTTTTTTTAAAAAAAGATTTAATATAAAATTCAATATTAATTTAATATGAAAAGCTTAATGATATAATAATAAGAATTATAATCTAATTTTAATATTTATTTTTATAAGATTATTTATTCTTTAATAATTTTTCACAATAATTTTAAATAATATTAGTAATTAATTATATAAAAAATTAAAAAAAAAAGATTAGATTAAATATAATAAATCAAAAAAGTTTTTCAATTATTTTTATAAAAGAAAATAAGAAATAAGGAAATGTATTTTTTATTTATATATTAATAATTTTTAAAGCTTTTATTGTTAATTCTTAATAAATTTTCTTAATATATTAATTTCTAATACTTTTTCTAAATTAAAAATGATATACTAATACTAATATATTAAAATATTTAAATGTATATAAATAGCTTCTATATAATATAATAAAAACTTCATCTTTCTTTTGTATTATATATATATAAGTTAAAAATATATATTAGTATCTATATAAATTTCGATTTTAATAAAAACTAATTTATTAATTAATTAAATATTATTTGATTTAAAAATTTGATATTTTCTATAAATAGATTGAAATTATTTTGCATATTTATAAATATTTTTAGAATTTATAATTTAAAGTATATGAAATAATATATATTCAAAATAAATGTAAAATATTAATATAAATATATTTTATAATTTAAAAAAAAAATTGTATTATAAAATAGACTTCTTTTTTCTTTAAAAATAAATATATAATAAACTTTTATTATATTCTTAAAGATAATTTAATTTCATTTTATCTTTTAGAATATTAAATTAATATTAATCTTATTTATATTTTTCTTTCAATAAACACTTTTTATAAAGTTTAAATAATAAATATATATTTCTAATATATTTTATAAATATATTATAATTATCAATTTAAAAGCTTTTTTTATTTCTTTATTATTAGATAAAAGAATAAAATCGCATATAATTATTTATTTTTAAATATAAAATTATTATAGTTAATTTTAAACTTTTAATTAAATCTTTCAATATTAAAGTATTTATTAATAATTCTAATTTCAATTTGAATATTAAATTAAAAAAAAAGATTATTTAATATTATAAATATTATATTATTTATTATATTATTTATTATATTATTTATTATATTATTTATGAATTGATTCTTTATATCAAGTTAATAAAATTTAAGATTAAATTATCATTATTATATAAATGAAATTATGTAAAATGAATAAGAAAAAATTGAAGAAAGTTTAATATTTATAAAGAATTAATATATTAGTATTTATAAAGTCTAAAAGGAAGAAAGAGTATTGGATTATAAAAGTAATATAGTAACAAGTGATGTTGATTTTTATTCCTACATTCCTGAATACTAAATACACTTTTTCATTAGATAGAAATCTAATTTTAGGGTTTTGACCATATCGATCAAATCGGCCTCGGTATTATACCACACTACACCACTATACCACACTAAGGTTATACCACACTATACCACACTACCATATAAACTCAACATATTGAGATTCTACTTAATCACAGTTAATCTAACATATAACATATAAGCCTCACCCTATAAAATAAAATGAAAAAATAATCTCGAATATTTTCAATAAATCATTATTAAATCAATAATGAATATTTTATTTTAAAAATTAGACTTCTAACATAATTTAATATTAGAAATATATTCAAGTTAAAAAGGGCTTTCAATTTTAATTATATTAAATTTATATTAAAGGCTTCATATGTGTATAGTACGTAAATCGTTTAGACAAAAAAAAAAAAAGATCCGATTTTAATAAATCCGGTTGAGAGGGTGGATGATACGCTAGGTGATATGTAATACGATATACCACTTTTCCCCCGCAATATGCTTGTTTTCTAATTTGATACGGTTCATTCGAGCTAATTGTCCATATTAGGAATGTACTGCCGCTTATCTAGAGGGAGGGGTCCTTCCGTTCCAAGCCGGATATCAATGGCTTTAAAGTCCCCCGTCTAGCTATAAGCCAACATTCTTCATCGATTTCTCTTCCTATTCTCGTCTTTGATCTTGTAAATGCCCTCACACATTGGCGCAGTTTCTACTTGTTCACATTCAAAATGGTTTTCTTACTCGATTATTTCCAACACAGGAGAGATTGGTAAGTTGTCATCCCATTCTCATATCTTATCGTTATCAACATCACCTTGGGGCGAGAGAGGAAGTCTGGGGAATGCCAAGCATAGCAATATCTAACTTTCCATATAGTCACTTCAAACAAGCAGAACGAAGTCAACGAATACAAAACCTCACGAGTTATCACGGAGCATTTACAAATCCAGAAAGACAAGTTCTCTCGAAACCAATTGAAGAATTAGTCAAAGATGTTCACAACCAAGTCATTCAACCAATTGACATCCTACGAGCATACGGAAAAGCTGCACTCAAAGCTCATGCGAAAACAAATTGTGTAACGGAAGTTATGATTGGTGCTGCTGAAGGTTGGACTACAGATGGAAGTATCAATTTCAAGGGACCTTTAGCAGGTATTCCTATAAGTCTAAAAGATTCAATTGTAGTTGGTGGTTTCGATACAACCGTAGGATATAGTAGCAATGTTGGTAACAAGGTAGAGAAGGATGGAACCATGGTGAGGATATTGAAAGATGCTGGAGCCATTCCATATGTCAAGACAAATCTTCCAATTACATTACTAAGTTTCGAATCAACGAACGATCTCTGGGGACGATGCACAAATCCTCATAATAACAAATATTCGCCAGGTGGATCTACAGGTGGTGAATCGGCTTTGTTAGCAGCTGGTGGTGGAAGAATTGGAATTGGTTCAGATGTTGCTGGATCAGTTAGAGTTCCGGCTCATTTCTCGGGAATCTATAGTTTGAGATGCTCAACTGGAAGATGGCCAAAGAACGGTATGTGCACAAGTATGCCAGGTCAAGAAGGTATTCCTAGTGTGTTTAGTCCCATGACAAGAACTTTGGAAGATCTTTCATATTTCACAAAGTCCATGATTGGTATGCAACCATGGAAGTATGATCATAGTGTTCATCCTATTCCATGGAGAAAGGAAGCATGGAAGGACTTTAGCGAAAAGAAGAAGTTTAGAGTTGGTGTACTAAGAACTGATGGCGTCGTGGATCCAAGTCCCGCTTGTATGAGAGCTTTGGATGAAGTGGTGGCTGTACTGGAAGAAGATGGCCACGAAGTCTATGATGTTAATCCACCATCTCCATATGAAGCTCTCTATCTTGGCTCACAACTTCTCAACGCCGATGGTTGCAAGACATTCAAATCATTCTTCAGAACTGGCGAATGGGAAGATCCAGGAGCAAAAGCAATGAGTTTTCTCATGTCATTACCAAGCCCTTTCAAATGGATGTATTGGGCCTGGGTCAAATATGTCAGAAGAGATGATATATGGGCTGGATTAATCAAAGAATGGCATGGGAAATCTGCTTATGAGCAATGGAAACTCGTCGCCAAGAGAGAAGCTTACAAAGCTAAATTCCATGCTTGGTGGGAAGAAGAAGTGAAACTCGACTTCATGATTACTCCACCAAACGCCACACCAGCAGTACCTCACGATGGAATGAGAGATGCAGTTAGCAGTTGTGGTTATACTTTCTTATTCAACTTGGTGAGTTTATTGTTTAAATCCCTTGAAATCTCCAGCTAACAAAAATAGCTCGACTACACTGCAGGTATCATGCCTATTACCCATGTCGATAAAGAACTCGATCAACTCCCATCCAACTTCTCCCTTAAATCTCTGAATGGTGTCGCGTACGGTGCTTATAAGCATTACGACGCAAATGCTATGCATAGACTTCCGGTGGCAATACAAGTGGTGGGTCAAAGATTGGAAGAGGAAAAGGTTCTCGCTATTATGCATAGGATTGAAGATTTACTGGATGAGGATAAATATGAACTTTTGGGTATCGATTAAGAAGGTAATCTTACATATGATGATTTGTTTTCAGGAGCGAAATCGGAGTTGGGAGGCAGGTCATTGAATATTGAGCATGTTTTTGATACGGTAGTGAGATTTAGCCGATAGAATATATCAATATCTAAAATACCCTTCAAAACTAGTACGTTAGCATGAATATAAAATTCGAAAGCTGTGAATGGTCGTAGCATGTATGACCCAAAAGGGGTAGATAACTTGAAGCGCGATCGGAGACACTTTCATATATTGAGAATTTCTTCCAAATCAGATTAATCCCTGAGTCTACTCAGTTTCGCGTTTTACATCGTAAACATAAGCAGGAAAGCGCAATGGTGAATTGGGTTACGAACGTTCGCTTCTGTCCCCTATCTCGCATCGCGCCGACATCGGAGGTGAACATCTGAACCTCAACTTTACATTTGGTGTCATCTCGTGGGAGGGCTAATACTATATAAGAGGTCAGATAACTACACCCAATTCGAAAATTCGACAGTTCGATTTTACTCAGTGATTGTTACCTGTTGTTCATCGTTACTGGATTTCTTGATATCGATGTTCTAATTCTTTTCGAATAGACCTATTTTTGAATCGCCACGACGTCCACGACTACAGTTATAGCTGCAGCTACAATCACGACCTGAACTCAAAAATAGTGATCTTTATTTCGAGATTCAAGTTTAGAGATATCGTTTCTCTGATCGATAATTATGGAAATGGTTAAGAATCGAGAAGATCACTGGTCTGCTTCGGTATTATTCCCTCTTATTTATTTGCCCCTCCCTTCTTTTTCGGTCCAACTTTTCTTGATATTCTTTCTCTCTTCTTCTCTTCCTTATACATACAAACTGAATGGTGGAGATTGGAAGCGGAGTGGGAGAATGAGAAGGAAACATATCCATGGGGGGATGAAGATTAGAAGTTTAAGCTAACATGCATGAAAAGGCATATCAAAACTCCGCTTCTTTTGTTCCAAAGCTTGCGGGGAAGGTTTTGAGTTGGTTGGATGTGCAGAGTAATGATGTGATTTTGGACATTGGGTGTGGTGGTTAGTTATTTTCTGAAACTTTTTACTTCTCGGAGGATATTCAATGGTGAGGTGGATGTATTGGATTAGGCTACTTCTTCTCTCGGTACTCGTACTCGGGAGATGAGTAGGAAGGGGACGAGGAAAGAGAACGAGACGAAATGAAGGAAATTGAGAACTAATACACTAACTTTGTTCGCCTATATAGATGGAATCATCCCCGTTCAAATCGCACACACGCTTTCCAGAGGCTCGGGAAGTATCCACGGAATTGACAGTTCGGAAGGTATGATTGCTGCTGCTCAAAAGGCTGCTGTGGCAGAGGGTGAAGCGATTTCAGGAATTTGTACATTCCAAGGTATATATTTCCATTCCCATTATCACGTCCATTCTTCAATCCATCCATCCACCCTCGTATTCTCCCACCCCAAACTTACACTCCTTTAACACCACCTAGTTCTCGACGCATCGTCTCCCCAAGATCTCTCCACCCTCTCATCCCAAATCTACACCAAGATTTTCTCCAACGCCGCACTCCACTGGATTCTCCGCCCCGAAGCCACCCGTAAACAGTTCTTCACAGAAATCAAAAGACTTCTCAAACCCAACGGGGTTTTGGTCTTCGAAATGGGAGGTATGGGTAACGTAGCCGAGATGCGCACCGCGTTGTTGAGTGTTGTTGGGCGTCGCTGTGAGGGGGGTCTAAAGAGGGCGAGAGAGGTAGATCCGTGGTTTTTTCCGGATGAGGTGTGGATGAGGAGTGTGTTTGCTTCTCCTTCGGATGTAAATGAAGATGGAGAAGGAGAATGGGAGATTGAAAAATTGGAAAGAGAATACAGGGCTACACCGACAGATAAGGGGGGAATAGAAGGCTGGGTGAAGTTGATGGGGAAACAGTTTTTTGATATTCTTGGGAATGGGGAAGAGAGGGAGGAGGCAGAAAAAGAGGTTTGTGAGGTGTTGGAAAGTGTGTGTAGGAGTCCGGGGGGTGGAGATTGGATTGGGTATGTGAGGTTGAGGGGGATGATTAGGAGGGTTTAGGGGATTGAGTTTCGAGCTTAGGGCTTAGTGAGAGAGGATGCTTGAATTTTGGAGTTGGTTGAATATTTGATGGGAGAGTAAATAATAGGTAAAGGGTCTGGAGAATTGATTCCTGTCTCTGATTTGCTAGTTTTAGCTCGGTTTCAGTGGGAAAAGAAATGCACGTCTACAAATCTTTCCCGAAAGAAATTTCTCTGCAAATATAGAAATACTCAACAAACATGCATTTTGAAATCCATGAATACGTATAATACCTACTCCTGCAATCTTTATCCCCATGTATTTTCACGCTTCTACTCGGAGCTAATTCACCAGATCAGAACCACATTTTTGTTAAAAGGTAGAGCGAATTCTACATTAACTAGTGGGCGAAATGAGTATGCGGGATTTTTGCTTCAATATCGCATCATCGCCATCACCTTTCCATTAATTTCATTCTTCTTGCCATTATTTCCAAAGAACACTCGACAACATATTGTCACCAAGTTGTTTCATATTATCACATTTCATCCCATGACATCTTGTCGTCTCTTCTTTCTCCCTTTAGATTACCGAGCTCTCAAATTGTTAGTTAGGTGAGTATAGAATACAGCAGGGAATTTAGATACGGATTCCCTGACTCAATTATAGGTTCGCATTGTAGACTGATTCCATCCGAGAGAGGTTAATAGGGACCAACGAGAGAGAGGCAGTTTGAATATAAGGATAGCGCCAGGGAGATGGGGGGATATGACAAGCGAGGGGAGAAACTGGGTCAGGGACCAAACTACGCATAGTTGAGAGCACGAAGTAAAATTATACTCTGGTTGAGGAAAATTCTTTGGGCTCTTTTAAATTCTTGAATCAGTGTAAAAGAGAGGAGATTTTCCTTCCAGGACCAAAAGCTTACAGTCAAACCCACGGAAACATATGGAACAATTAAGCTCGCACCATAGATGATGTGCTGTCATTAATTTCCCATACTCACTTCTTTCAAAAAACTTGTGATTGTTCATTGGGGATCGATTCTTGCTCGCTGTTACTATACCATAATGGTAGGGGACTTGTTGCCGCGTGTATTGCTAGCCAGGAATGATTGTCGAATTAAAGTATACTTTTCGAGTATTGTTATTAAAGGCCTATATTTCTTTTTTATCATGACTCAAATTATTACCTATTCCTATTCATTTTGAGAAATTTCACATGCGAGAATCAATTTACGCTGCCAAACTCACTTTCTAGAGATATTCATCACACATTTCCTTACCAAATGTGTAAACATTGGAGTAAATATGGAAAAGGCCTGATTTCCCGCACCTCCCCGCAAACTGCAGATCAATCCTCTAGTTAAATGCTTCGATTGCTATTCGTACAATCCACATGAGACTTTGAGGGGACCTTTGCGTTCCTTTCGCGAGATGCTTATCATATCGCTTGATATGCGAGTTTAAATCTATGATGTCGATTAGGCCACTAGGCTTATCAATATTGATAGTACTTTGACAGCACATGAATCTTTCACTAAAATGGTTCGAGTTGCCTACTCTTAATAACATAAAGTGCCACGTAAAGCATCAAAACCGAGCCAAGTCATCCAACTTCTAACTCCCGTTGGCAATAGGGGGACTCTGATGTGAGCCGTCTAGCCAGCGGATTCTGAAATTCGCAGGGAAGAAGACAGCATCAACATGTCCTATACGAGCAGGAATCACTGTGAAATTCCCATTGTGCACTTCGTGAATCAACCTTATGCATGAGCTCTCAACCTACTTTACTGGCGTCACTGATCTCCATGCGGGGCAGCAATTCCATCTTCCATCTCCTCAATCTCCTCAATCTGACCTGGAGACTCCAGACTCCAGCGTCTTCGTTAATGTGGATGTTGTTAAGATTCCACGTGATGGTGGATCATATGCTGACGCGTACCCGCTTTAGCAATCTAAAGCCCGTTACCATAGATGGAAAAGTTGTCAGCGTTGTGATTCCAACAGGATGTCTAATCCGAGCTCCTATCGGGCCTTCTATTGCGCTTATTGACTCAAATTGTGGAAATCAAGGTTGGTTTATTGATTCATTGGAATTTGGGAGAGCTTTGTACTTGTAAGGCAAGGTAAGGTAAGCGGGTATCGGCACAAACACGGCGTCTCCAATTTGGGGTTCAGCGAGGTTGAAAGTCGGTTAAACATCGGTTATCACTCTTTGTTCCTAGAAAATGGGGGTTTCCAGACTGTTCAGTATCGTTTCGACATCCGAGTCGGCTTTAGCAAGGAGTTTGGCTCATAAAAAGGGGATTTTTGGAAAGATTTCATTTCGATATAAGGATAACAATTGCTTTGGTAAATGTGTCTTGTTGTATACCCCTTGTCTCCTCCTTAGGCGTGGCCATTGGGTGACTATTGACGTTGATTAGTTCGTATGGCTGTCAAACTGTGAGGATGCTCGGAGATCCATCCTAGAATCCCGCTGTTTGTTGGGACCTAGAAAAGTTGATTGAAACAATTGAGAAACTTATTGATGATCGCGCTTATTTATCTGATGTCGTTGAAGGCCAAGAATCCAAGCAAAGCTTGACGATATTCGCATGGTGAGCAGCGCCCCAGTTGACGGGTGGCTTGTAAAACCAGCTTGACTCCTCACTGATCGCACTATGGCACTATAATCCTTGCATATAGTTTGTTCCGTAGCCTTGGCACATGATGCAGTGGTAGAATCCTAGTTGAGACTTATCATTTCTCGGGGTGGCGCGCGCGAGTTTCCAATTCAGAAATAGAAGAATAGTTTAGAATTGGAGAAATGAGAGAGTACAGAACTTCCGGTCTAATTGGGATGCAAGGAATCGGAATATTCAAGAGTGGCTTAAGCTGCAGATTGCTTCATGTCAAATGGCAACCCGAGCTCCTGGCACCGAACCCTGGGGGGAAGTTGTAAAAAGGAAATAATGAGAATCGTCGTGTGCCATCCAGGCTTCCCCGAATGCTCTATGAGTTCTATCCATACATCTATAAGTCAAGAGTTGGGAATTAACGCGTAGCAAACCTTCCCAGAGCGTCCACTTTGAAGTGGGGAGAATCTTTTGCTGGAAGACTACTCTCGAGTTCATCTGTTATTTAGCAAATTCGCGTCTAAGCTTGATCGGGAACCCCCGCGGGAAAGGCCTTATCCTTGGATGTCCGTAGAAAGTTGGAAATACGCAGTATATATATGAAGTCTTCTTCATCTTCGTCTTCTTTTCACAGATTATCTTCATTTCATCTTCATCGGGCTCGGCCTCCCCTCATCTCACTCCTCCAATTGTACTCTCGTTTCATTTCTTCGCCGACGGTAATGGCCATCATGGCGGAAAAGGAGGCTCCAAGCCAGTCGCTTGTTGCTCGACAGGATGCAGCAAAAGCTCATGGTCTCATGGGCATGCTTAAGAATCCTTATGTGTTCTTGACATATTTATTCGCATTATTGGGTTGTGTGATGTATGGTTAGTACAAGCACCTTCATTCCCTATGACCAGCGAGCACTGGCTAACATTCGAATAACAGGTCACGACCAAGGAGTCATGTCCCCAGTCCTGGTTATGGGAAACTTCGAGACGAATTCTCAACTCTCACTTCATCGACACTTCAAGGATGGCTCGTTGCTTCCCTTGAACTTGGTGCCTGGTTCGGTGCTTTTTCAACGGATACCTCGCAGATAAAATCTCAAGAAAATACAGCATGATGGTTGCCGTTCTCATTTTCACACTCGGTACCGGTCTCCAAACTGGCGCTCAGAACCCATCATACTTCCTCGCAGGTCGTATCATCGGTGGTGTGGGTATTGGTATGTTCTCCATGGTCATTCCATTCTACTAAGCAGAAATTGCCCCTCCAGAACTTAGAGGATCTTTGGTATCACTTCAACAACTTTCCATTACCATCGGAACTACCATTGCTTTCTGGCTTGACTTTGGATTCTCCTTCTCTGATGAAAACAAATGTGAGCCAGAGGGCATTGCAGACCCATATCTCGCTGATGGCACCTACAATGCTGCTGCGAACCACGGACATCCTTGTACCGGTCAAAATCAAATTTCTTGGAGAGTCCCTTTGGCACTGCAATTGATTCCGGCATTGACCCTTTTTATTGGAATGTTCTTCTTCCCATTCTCTCCTAGATGGTTGATGTTGAAGCATCGTGAAGATGAGGCTATTGCATCTCTCTGCAAACTCAGACGTCTTGACGTCAATGATCCATTGTTACGAGCCGAGTTCCTCGAAATTAAGGCCGCCGTCACGTTCGACGAGGAAACCCAAGCGGTGCAAATTGGCGCTGGTGGGATGATGGCCCCATGGAAAGCATTATTCGTTCCTCATGTATTCAGGAGAATCTTCTTGGGTTGTGGTATAATGGTGTTTCAACAGTTCACTGGTATTAACGCCGTCTTGTACTGTGCCCCTCAGATTTTCGCAAGTTTTGGTTTCTCCAGCACTACCACCACTCTTCTCGCTACTGGAGTCACTGGTATCTTGCAAGTTCTCTTCATTTACTAGCTGTCTTGTACCTTGATAAATTCGGTCGCAAGACTTTCCTCATTGCTGGTGCCATCGGCATGTGTATCTGCCACATCGTTGTCGCTGCCGTCGGAGGTGTTTACGAAGACCAATGGAATCTCAATGAAGGCCTTGCTGTTACACAAGCATGGGTCGCCATCGTGTCCATTTGGTTATTCGCGGTCAATTTTGCCTACTCTTGGGGACCTGTCACATGGGTTCTTGCTCAAGAAATCTTCCCAGCCAGTGTTAGATCCCGTAGCGTCGTCCTTGTCGCATCTACTAACTGGATGTTCAACTTTATCATCGGCTTGACCACCAAAGACATGCTCGATTCTATGAAATATGGTACATACATCTTCTTTGCTGTATTTAGTGCCGGGGGTGGTTTCTTTATCGGGAAATTGTTCCCTGAGACTAAGGACAAGACATTGGAGGAACTCGATGTGTACTTCGGCGGTAGCATGGACAGTATCGCGGCTGCAGATAAAGCAATAATGCAAAGTATCAACGAGAGACTTGGTCTTGCTAAAGCCGAGAGCCTTGAAGATATCAAGCTGGACAACGAAGAATGATTGCTACAACTACTCATCAAGAATTGTAGATAAAGAAGTGGTGTGAGGTCACGTGTTGAATATGGGGTGTCTGGATCATAATTTTGATTCATTTTAACTTACTTGATATAATAATGATTAGCATTTATATTGAAATAATGACACGAGTTCCGATCAAAAAGAAATATTTCCCTATCTTGCGCTCGATAGCCTATATATCTTCTTGCGCAGTGTCTTCAGATATTTGCTCTTTAAGCTATCCGCTCCGCTCTTAGCTGTCCGCCAGGATTTTCTTTTCCCATGCGTACGAGACTATTTCAAATGGTCGTTAAACAGTTGCTGCACGCGAGTATCAACTTCAAGATCAGTGAGCCGTATAACACCCAAAGTGTTTAGATAGATCGTCGCGAATTCGGCCTGATCTGTTCTCGGTCCCATTGCGTCTCGCTCTTCGCTAGCAATATCTTGTTGCATTATGGCGATCACAATAGAGCAACAAGATGATAGACTAAGAGAGCAGTCAATTGAACTCATATTGACCATGCCACGAAAGATAATACACGTGGTAAGAATCTGATCTTGTTAATTCTTGTAAAAGAGTGACGACTGATGATCTCTTCGGTTGGGTTTCATGAAGCTTGCAAGTAGATATATAAGCTACCCTGTAAAATCAATGCAACAAGAACGTACAAATTCTAATTTGTACTATGATTCTACCTTGAACAGTCCAAATACACATGAGGGTAAGGAGAAGTCACCAGCTTCTTTCTTCTTCCGATTTTACAACTACCTTCGCTGTTGCAAGTGGATACCACTCCTGTTTGTGATTATCCGCGAAAGCCAATCCACCGAGATAAGTGTATGCAACAGTACCAGCTTCATCTGCGGGATATCCTCCTTCCTGACCCCATATCTCCATTGTGTTCAGTTCTTTCCTATCGCTGAATACTATTGGATCTCCGGGTTCTGGAAAATATATCTTGTAACTTTCAAGTGGCTCCGCTCTCAGAGTCTGACCGAAGATGAAGGCCTCTTTGCACATCATTAAAATTCTTTCCTCGATATGTTTATAATTTTTTTCCGGCAAAGGTCTCAAGAAGTATTCCAAATCTGCCGAAAGAACACCTATCCTCCTCTCTGAAACTCTCTTTCGAATCGATTTTCCACACCTGTAGGTCAGTTTTCTCCAATTATAGTAGTCAAGATTTTTGTGGATATCGCCTGCAGCGTCATTAGCAAGAACCAGTTTTACATTTGACACCATGTGGTCATCACCTTCAGAAGCATCCCGGATCTTCTTTTCAAAAGCTGCAAGTCCAGCTTCCATCTTTACGATACGATGATATTCTGGTTTAAACATATGCATTGGCCCAGACGACTCCATCAAGTTATATCTACTGACCATTCGACGCCATATGTGGAGATCCTTGTCCACCATTTCGACTTTCTTTCTTTGCAGTTCTATATTCTGATTCTTGAGTTCCTCAAGTTGAGTCTGTAATTCTTGCACATTTTGAGGAGGCTGATGAGCTTGTGCTTTCAAGTCATTACACTGAGCTTCCAGGTTCTCAACCTCAGCTTTCAATATTTCAATGTCTTTTTTGGCTTGAGCAAGATTTAATTCTGCTTGAACTTGACCGCTTTTGTCGGATACACTGGCCGTTTGGCGGCCGAAAGCTTTGAGTTCTTCTGATATCTTCTGGTAATTACTATCAAGGTCTTTGTATCGTTTTTGGGACTCAATCTTTTCATTTTCCAGAGCAACTGCTTCGGCCCGCAGAGTGATATTCATTAGTAATGAAGAAAAAAAAAATGCAATGTCCAAACCATAATTCAAAGGCTTCAAAACAAGTCATGCATGACTGGGATCGAACTTACTGGGACTTCACCATGTTGAGATAGCATTTTTTCAAGCTCGATTTGAGTCTGCTCGAGCATCTTACCCACCAGTTCTACAGCTTGTTGAACAGAGCCTCCATATTGAACATCTTGGCTGTCTTGGGCGCTGGAACTTCGGGATCTATTTTGAATATTGTGATTGCACTTTTGGGGAATTTGTAAAACTATACCTTGCCTAACTGAGCTCATGGTGTATATATTGAGGACACAAGCGTTGTGATCTGACTACCTTTGCTAATTTTGCGTTTATGAAATGGACTCCATATCATTCAATATCAAAGAAGCAGAGATTATTCTCTTTGCCAGTCTCGATATTATGCTAGCTAGTCCCTTATTACAGTGTTTATCCTTTTCCGTTTTCAGTACCTGAGCTCGTAAGGATTGAATCTTTGAAAATCCTTTGTCCATATGATGTTTTTTCCAACCGGCATCCGTCACATCACACCACATCAGATCTCCGATATTTTTATGTTTTGACAGAATTGATGAAGTTTCACGCAAGAAGACTACCATTTATTGTGTGTGAGGCTGTCCTCGACTGCCATGATAGTGAATAGAGGTATGATATGACAAGCTGAAAGTCATGGTATAAGATGGTGTATCAAACACTGCTCGAAGAAATAGTCGCCAAGTAGTAGCCTGGCCCCCACGTTGATCTTTCGAATCGTATGTCAAGGTCGGATGCATCAAAAATTAGTGGAGACATGGACAATGAAAAAGTGCAGTTTGATGACATACTCCCAGTATTTATTTATCTCGGATGTGTAATGATTTATTCTAAACCAAGCACCCTGCAAATATATTACCAAAAGTTTCAAATCAAATTTGAATTAATTATGCTTTTTGTAAAGTTGACAGGCGTTTTATGAGTTCATGAACTCGGCGTTGAAACCTCCAAACAAATGACAAAAAAAGTACCACGCAGAGTTCCTCATATCAACAATTTATTCCCTTGAGAAAGTAAACACCACAGTACGAATATCTAGATCGAATCCCTCTTTGGGCTTGAGTAGCCTCTGACTTGAAACTCAGTGATACTTCGCCTCAACACTACCCATGTTTTTGCCCTTGTACTCGAGTGAAAACGTCATAATGGCAGAGTTGATTGTCACTACCAACTCGAAATAAACATCTCAGCACGGGTTTCCAAGCCTATCAGTTTTCTTTCTGAAAGTCATTGGATCCACGCTTCTCAGTTCGACTTGCAGACTACAATTTACTTGCACCGACCGATCGGGGCGGATGGGCCCACTATTGAGTTCACAATGATCAAGATGTTCTTTGAACGCGAGATTCTCAACCGAGATGTTGTGGAGAGTTCGATAAAATGAGAAGCGGATCTTTTGTGGTCGCCTGAGACTGTCTCCGCGCTGTATGTACCAGGCCGTCTAGTCTTGTGAGTAGGCAATCAAAGCGAGAAGTTGTTCTGTCTTACACGTAGTGTTTTCCAGTTTCCGCATGTATCCATTCCATGAACTTGGGATAGCCTATATCTTCTGTGTCATGAGAGGCATGATGGGCTGACACCATAGTGTCGTGTCGCCCGTGTTGAGACTACCATGACTTTTTGCGGAAGCTGAGTCAGCACAGCACCTCTTGCAGCATATTAGCAACTTTCTTCCTTGTACTTAGAGAACTTACTTAACGATTGCGGACCAAGCATCATGTGGCTGGATGACTTGGATAGTCGGGTACTCTTGATCAAGTTGAGATTTAGGTACTCTGAAGAACCAAAACCGCCTACAAGTATAATTGCCTAGAAAGGGTTATTGAAAATTCCAAGAAGAGGTGAGGTAGGATATCTTAATAACTTTGATTATTTTCGCCTTTGGATGGTTTTCCGAAAGTCTCTTCGTTATGTCATCCTGCACCTGTTTGTTGACCTTGACCATAATATCTGCAATTATAGGGTCGAATATGAGTTTTATGTCATTACTTTTAATGTGTTAGCTTTGTTGATTTTTGCTGACAGGATACGGCCTTACGACTTCAAAGTCCAAACTTTGTTTACGAGGCCTCTCTTCACGTCATCTTTAAGCTTTGCCCTTAAGAAAATAAATGTATACTTGTCACCGGCAAGACAGCGGAAGAATGGTTCGAGGGAAGAATCGAATTTCTTGAAGGCAGCCGCGAAAGCCTTAGCATTCTTGGGATCGTGAAACCGAGCTTCCCCCACCAGCTCTTTGACAACTTCCTCAAATCTACTGTTGAGATTTAATGAGCCTGCCATGCAGCCTCGGTACTGTTCAGCCCAATGTTCATGCCAGCCGAGAATAAAACTTACCGGTACCAGGTACGAGCTCTCTCAACTCTAACCTGGGATTCAATTTAACTATCTCATATGATATGAGATCCACTGTACCACCACCAGCATCGCAAATGACGAATGCGTCGCCGATCTAGAAGAGATGTTAGTCGGGGACCTGTAAGACGAATGTAATCATACAGATAGCGCCTTGTCTTTGAATTCGGTCAGCGCGTATAATGCTGCTGCTTCTGGCACCTTGACGAGAGTCACTGGATAAATACCAGCCTTCCTAGCTGCCTGTGTGAAAAATCTCAGTCAGCCTATCAACGCATGTACACGGAAGATATCGACCCGCAAAGATAAGTCTTTCGCCCTGTCTGACCAAACAGCGGGCACGGAAAGGACAAATGTCTTTTGACAATCTTAATGTAATCCTCAGGCCAACTAGCCATGATTCTTTCCGTAGCGTGTTCGTACATGGCTCTAAAATCAACGGCCACTTCAACGGCTGGCTTGCATAGCTTATGATCGTAGAGGTTTCCGGTTGTTTTCGAATAAGCCCTTTGTGTTGGGTTAGAGATTTCAAAGAGAGCAGTACGTCAGAAGCCCTACCTGGCTAAATATCTACACCAAAAACCTCAGGGTTCTCATTTAGAAGGAATGCAAATGCAATGCCACTATACGTCGTTCCAAAGTCCAGTGCGATAATCATCTTCTCTTCCGATGCATAAATGTTTTGATCGCTAGGTAGGGTAGCAATTCCACTGGTAGACTTATCTTGCTTCATTTGGTTGTCTATGGCGACAGATTTCGCAAAAAGAACTGCGGTACTAAGGTGTTGATATGAAAATGCACAGTGTACTGCTGTTAGGAACGGAAAAGATTTCATACTATGATGAAACCTCTATTTATGGATAACATGTCTAAGATAAAATCCTTGCTCGTGTGTTGGTGTATTCTGCAGCCTTTTTAAGTTGATTCAGCCACGAATGTAATAGAATCTTCTAAATTTCGAAATCTCACGGATCGTTTGATCATGAAATTTCTGCTCCGCAACTCACTCCACGCACGTGCGCTGGCTTAACTGGTGCAGCTTCCAGCCCAATCTATAATTGTTAAGAAATTCGATGGCACACCTGGAAGATGGGACTCACCTTCTTCGCGCTCTGAGAATGACATGAAAGAATAGAAATGTGGCACAATATACTGTCCGACTTTTACGCTGTGTTCTTAGCATGCAAATAATTCTACGCAACTCAGATTCAGTTCGTATTTGGAGGATCATATCTTTGGTACGAACTACACATCGCAGTCACGGAACCACGCCATCCAGCCCAAGAAGCTCAACACAAACTCGATGATGGATAATATTGAATGTCAACTTTCCTTTGACAACCCAAATTTGTCAGAAGAGAAATAGAGGAATCCACAGAATATGACGGGGTCAGGAGGCGGCCATGTTATCTTCGTCGATTGTGTAATGGACTTTTTGTAAGTATACAATTCAACCACTGTCCCAGTCCAGAATTAATTGTTCTAGCCGAGGAAAACAGCAGAGGATACTGTTACCTTTCAAAACACCCACGACCTTACACAGCTTGCCACTGGGAACAATCTCTTGAAACAGCAAGTCAATAGTCTGTTCCAAGAAAAAGAGCAGGCAAGAAGTCAGAACCAAGCTTTCTCGTAGCAGCTTGAAAATTTCACTCGCGAAAACAATGAACTCAATATCAGGTGTGAGAAGCTACAGCATGATATTAGCATCTGCTCCTACCAGAGAAAATCTTGCGAAGCGGCTGCTGAGAAGGCTCTCGAAGATCTGGACATTACGAACAACTTACTTCAAGCACAAAATGACGAACTTCGCAAACTTGAGCATAAATACAACACAGTGGTCATGGATCGGGAATCTCAAGGTCAAAACTATCAAAATCTGTCGGAGAGCTTTAAACACAAAAGAAACAGAATCTCACCGTGAGTGACGAGCTCATAACATCCAACAATCAGAACCGTTTGGCGTCCAATTGCATAGAGTTGCGACAGAAGCTTGAAACGCTCGAGGAAGAGATTGGATATCACAAACAATAAGCCATGAGATTTCGAGCAATCATCCAAAAATTAAATACACGGATGGAGATCAACGAAGTTGTTATTGCCGAAGAATTTGGCTGGCTACGGGAAGAGATTCATCTCATCATTCATAGTTCCTATAGAATGAGACGAGTCCATCCAGTTCGCCAAAATCCGACCTTACAGAATGCCGAAACCTATCTTTACAATCTTTTTGGTTTCGGTCTTGATCAATTTCAACTAGAGAATGCAGTGAGAGCTTTCGTGTTCGGCCACTCGGATAAATCTCTGCTGTTTAGAGGCTTCTTTGGACTTGAAGATATGGATGAGAACTAGGGTATGGAGCTTGGGCTAAGAAATTTCGAGTCAATGCTCAATCAGAACCACCCAGGTATTTTGCGCTCACGATCACCTTCGATTTGCATAGATATATGTTGAGTACTGACACCTCTAGGTCAACACGCCGAAATCGCCGAATGGAGAACCGCAACAATGAAATCTGCAAAAATCTTGCACCCCGTCCACCCAAGTCATCTACCAGGCCCTTGCATCCACGTCGCCAGAGAATTGATGTGGCTATTGGACCCCTTACTAAAACATTCCCAGAATGAGACAGATCAGCTCGCGAGTCGCTGGCAGGCACTTTGTATGAGAGCCCTCAAGCTTACCATCAAGCTGAGGAGTTATCAAGACGTGTACCGTTGCGAGGTTCCTCTACCAAGAGACATGCTTAAAGGTGACGAGATAGAGATGGAATCCGAAATTTATAAGGAGGATTGCAAGAAGTATGCTGAGTCAAATGGCTGGACTATTGCGTACGCTCTTTCGTGTGCGTTAGTCAGATACTCAGCCGAGGAGCCAGAGAGAAAAGTGGTCCTATTGCAGCCATGGGGGTAGTGACATATGCTCATCCAGGCGAGGATGAATGAAGCCTTCGCTGTAATTTGGAATCTGCTGAACTGGCCTTAGATGATCCTGGTCAGAAATAATGGTTGGCGCATGGAAAAGGATAGGCATTCATATAACACTATGCGGTACAGTCCACTCACATATCGAGGTCATCGAGCTCAAAAAACCACTTTGTGAATTCAGAGATTCTCTTCCGCGCACTATATCACCACATATTATTTATTCACTATCCTTTGTGACATGTATTTGGTGAAGGAGATATATTGGCGCGTAATATAATGAATGGCAGCATACTTTGCTTCTCACGATGCCTGATTTCCCTTCACAAAAATCATGTTAATTCGTATGCCTGGTGTTACGCTCATCTCCTGAACGTGGAAAAAGAAACGTGCTATTTTGATTGTGACATCAAGTAGAAGCTCGCGGCATTAACCTCAGCTTATCTGAATGTTCTTTCCAGGCCGCAAAATTTCACTCGTGCTGCTGTATCATATATATTGATTGCTGAGAAACGCATCCTCACACCGCACACAATCTTTGGTTCGGCATGTTGCCAGAGTGGTTAATGGGTAAGACTTGAATGAACAATTCGGTTATCTTATGGTTTCGGCCTCGTAGGTTCAAATCCTGCACATGTCGTAACGTTTTGCCATTTCTTTTGGTTCCAAGACTCGAAAAGAATGATTTGAAAGAAACGCTTTTAATAAGTTCGTGGCTGGTAGCTGGACAGTGTTTCTGAGTGGATAGTACGGTGTGCGCAGCCCCGCAGATAATAGCGGACTGGTGGAGTGCTTAACGCCGTGATATCAGAATTTTTAACGCCGAAATAGGTACTGAGTGTTGGCACCACATTCATTTTGATGCGGGCGTTAAAGCATTCGAAATGGTGTCCCATCTCCACGTCATGGCTGGTGTTTTGTTTTGACGCACATTTTTCTCTGATTTAGCATGTTCAGATGGCTCAGATGGCTCAGATCGTTGCATTTCATGCTTTCGATGAAGGTGGATAGAACTGGATTAGGACCAGCACGCAGGAGGTACTGGGCATTGTACGTTCGTGTGTTTTTTTCTTCTTTTTTTTCTTGGGCAGAACTGTCGTTTCACGTCAGGAATCTGTCGACTTGTGTCGGGGGGTGGTTGATGGCTGCAGGAAGTCCGGAGTAATGCATCACACGTCCATCGTCTCGTGCCGACTTCGTAGATTTGTGAGAGGAGATAGGAGAACGATGAGGATGCCACCACATGTTGAATAAGGATAGCATTAAACTCAGAATACTATTCGTTCTCCTGGAAAACTCCCAAACTTTTGAGGTCTTCGGGAGTTGCATTGAAATGTAACAACGCGACGAGCTAGTTCTAAACAATGCCTGACATTGCTGTTGGATCCATGTCTCTATCGCGATATTCCAAGGTTCAATGGAGGTCCGCCTGGTGAGACGACAGAAAGCACACTGTTTATGATGAATGTCTACCAGATAATGAGGTAAATTCGTGCCTTCAATCAATATCGAGTAGACTTTAGTTGAGATGTACATCTTGACCGGAAACGACAACAAGATTAGAGAAAGAAAAGAAAAGGAAAGAAAAGGAAAAATAGACAATCATGTACAGCAATGGAAATTGTCTGATTTTGAGTGTATGTAGCTTTTAATTGAGTAAATATAAATATAATTCGAATTTTCATTAATAAGTTGTCGTCGTTATGTATGCAATTATTCAATATTTGCAGTGGGTGGTGAGGTGATGAATTATCAGACAATTACGAGTATACAGTAGGCATTACTGATAGTGCTGAGGAATTCGGATCTCGCGAACTTTAATTTCCAAACAAAACAACCTTAACCACTTATTAACCAACAAACCTACAAACCATCAAACCATCAACCTCTCAACCGCTCAATCCCTCAACGTCGCACTTTGCCTCGACAATAACACGTATCCCCTTTCAAAACACCTTCATCATGGCCGATACCGAAATGGATGTCGATGCGCCTTCATCACCACAAGAGCAACGAAATGACACCAAGAATGCCTCCATGACAACCCATTCGAATGCGACAGCTGTACGATCTATCGAAGGCTGGATCATCATCGTCACCAATGTACATGAAGAAGCTAGTGAGGAGGACTTGAATGACAAATTCGCAGACTTTGGAGAGATCAAGAATCTTCATTTGAACCTTGATAGAAGAACTGGATACGTCAAGGTGAGCTCATACAATTACGTCTTTTGCATGGAAGCTCTCCGATCAATTTAGCACTATCGTCTGGGGGATTTATAAGACAATCTCGGACAGCTAACACAAAATGCCTACAACTAGGGTTATGCATTGATCGAATACCCAACATTGGACGAGGCAAGGGCCGCTATTGATGGTGCGCATAATACCAAGCTGCTGGAACAGACTGTCGAGGTGGACTTTGCATTCGTTAGACCGCCACCAGGAGGAAAGGGTAGAGGAGGTCGGGCACCTGCCAAAGGTAGAGCAAGAAGCCGATCACGTAGTCCCAGTGGTAGAGATGGGGGCGATTGAATGGGTGCAGGTGACGATATTGTGCCACATGAATGATAGATACATGAATGATTTCTAATCATTAAAGTACATTCTTGAGGAGCGGTGGAAGAAATCTGGGGAAAATTACAAGGGATGTGGAGGAAAATTAGAAAGGCTACTTAGGTACTATGTACTCCTCCATTAAAAGCCGATATGTCTTCATGGGAAAGACATATCGGCGTATACTCAAATCACTACGAGTGTAAGTTCATCTAATCGCCTTGGGATTCGGGGCAGAATATGTTACTAATCTATATTTAGTATTGAGATACCAAAAAGAATTACCATTGAATTTTCTCTTTAATTTATTTCACTCTAACGAGTCTGAGCCCCACGAGAATTTGATCGTTACATCTCCGAAGTTTTCATCCAACTGTTGGACATCGCCGAGACGTAACACTTGTCTACTCCAAAGTGTTCTTGTATAAAAAGAGTTGTCTTTGCAGAAAGTTAGAGGACCCTACTCACATTTCTCCAAGAACCTAGTGGACCCTACATTCAGAAAAGAAACGACTCTATTCCGATTTGAAGAACCTTGTACCGTGGGCTGACATAGAATGATGTGAGCGAGCTTTCCCCCTGGCACCACATTATTTCGACACTTACCAACGATTTTGCTTCTCCCACAGACAAGGCTTTATCCGGGAATTCCACCATACCCTTGAAAACCTCACCTTCTAGAGATCATTGAATCCTCGAGGGTCATCTAACAACACTCTCCGACAGCATCCAATAACACTTGGACCACTACTATATAAGTATCCTGTAACACCAGACCTTTGAATCCTCATACCACTTCATTTCGTACCCTTTACATATTCACACCGCTACACACAAAGAAGATCGTCAAGACATCTTCACATTTATATATCTAATACTTTCGGTTGCACCATTTTATACTACTGTCTCTTAATTCAAACAACTCATTATCCCTCCCTCACCTTGGTGAATCAACATCGCAATGGCTCGTACATTTTTAGATACTCTCCCAAGAGAGATTCGCGATCAAATATACGGATATGTTCTATCATCCCACTCCAGAAGTGTATATCTATCCGAAAGCGTGGTCAATGACCCTGATTACCCTCAAGAAGAATATTCAGCAGCTGGCAAACCTCCATATACTATCCGCTCCAAATCCCACGGCGAAACCATACGCCTTTCCTTTTTACGAACCTGTCGCCAAATTTACCACGAAGCTAAAGTTGTCTTCTGGGAGCAGAACTCACTCATTCTTGATGGCATCCTTCCTCGAACATACATCGATCACCCCATACTAGGCAGACTGCCAGGTTCGATAGCCTCACTGGCTACCTCGGTCGAACTCAAGATAGATATATTAGGTCGTTCAACTTTCCGTAGGAAGTCTGAATTATCTCATGACAGTCCTTCGCTTGTTCCATTCGAATATCAATTGAAGGATCTAGCACGGTGGCCAAACCTAAAGAGAATAAAGCTACATATGAGTCTCGGCGAAGACCCTTGGGGTAATTACGATGGGTATGGGCATAGTGGTTTTGCAAGACTACTCTACTGGAGACTTAGAGGTGGATCAAATGATCATTGGCATAACTTGGTCCGATCAAACATCAAAGCATTGGAAGAAGCGGGCGGAAAGGATGGTTACCTGTCTCACGTCAAGAAGGAATTGGATATCAACACAGGCTGTGCACTTCCTAATGGCAATGGCTTCCCTCAAAGGATGCTAAAGGTGTCTACTGGATCTCCTGGAGAAGTTCTACAAGAATTAAGTGAGGCATGGTTTGGTACTCTATCAGTTGATGGCAGACTGTCTTATCTCGAGGGTGAAGAAAAAGAAGATATGTTTGTTCAACAACCAGCACCCCGCCTACCTATGCTCGATCACTTCTTCTTCTTTAAATACGACATCGATCGTTGGGTTGATGGTCAATCAGGTGTAAGGTTATGGGGCAAAGCAAAACAAATTTGGCCAGCAGGAGATGAGGGTAAACAGGCAAGAAGAGGAGCTTGGGAGGATTCAGGGAGAATGGGTTGTTCTTTTGATGTTATGCGCGAGATTCACTGGCCTTGGAAGCAAATGTCACCGCCTGACTTTATTCCGTAAACTTTGGGTTTGAGCCTCTTTCTCAATTGTTACATGTATTACGAGTTTTATTATCTCTGTATCACTTATTATAAAGTATATCCTCAGCTAGGCGTTGTGGAATTTTGCTTTTGAAACCTTCACAAATACATAATTTATACATATATCTACCTCTTCAATGCAATACCTTCATGTGTCGTCGACTTCGAACATTATCTTTTGTCTCTCTCTCTCTCTCTATTTTTTCTATGGTTGAAATCTAGCCACGGTGTCGTTGGCGGTTACTTCTACAACTAGTGACCCCCATACACCAATACAAACACCCAAACACACAATCCACGCACATACATAGTAGCTACAGTCAGCGCTATTGAATGCGGGGTAAGTAAATTGGGACAAGTGATACAATGGTGCCTGTCGGAAAGACTGGGCTCACTTGCCACTTTGAGGTCAAAGACCAATGAGTGAGAAGAGCCAAGAAGAAATTCGGTGGTGGTGGAAACAAAGCTGCAGAATGCCGGACCCGAGTCAACCTCGTGAGAGATTGTGGGGCGTAGGTAATGAGATGATAGGAGGATAGTCTATCGGATGCTTGTCTTGAGTATAATTTGAGTGTTTTTTTTGACAGGGACTGAGTGATAGGTTGGGGATGTGTTAGGGGAAAGGATAGGGGTAGGCACTTTTGCAGTTGCATATGCGGATGCGGACTAGGTATTTGATGATAAGGCTCAGAGTGAAAGCGAGAGATCCGAGAGTAAAAGCGTGGGATATCATGAGATGAGATCTAGACAGGAAGCGGCGTCGGCCAGATGATGAGTTGGGATTTCATTCGCTTGTCGGGTGGTATTTTCATATGTCCTTACTTTCGAATGCGAATCTGGGGGTGGCAAAATGTTATTCTTGGGAATTGGTGTCACTTGTTATGCTGTGCATGTGTTTTTATGGTTACTTCACGCCAATATCTCAAATTGGATTGGTAATTCAAATTCTGAAGGCGTTTTAAGAACTTGAGCTGAATCACCTGCCACGATCAATCACTCGGGGGGAGCGCAACCATTCACGTGCACCTTAGTCCTCGCTTGAAAACCCGTGCTTTATTTAATCCATCACCCGGCACCCCCAACAAAACTTCCCCGGCGAACACCCCCAACATCCCACGCGCAAAATTCTTCAACGGAACATTTATACACTGCTCCCATAATACTTTGCGATCGGAATTGAATTTTTTTGAGAATCGTGCCGATCGTACGAATTGCGAATTGGTGATTTGTTCATCGGCCCGGAACATAGTTTTTCAAAGGGGCTTATCGGACCCGAGTTGCGGGCTCGGCGGGCGGTGCTACGAGTGTAGGATCTTCAGCTGGGTTGAATGGAAAGGCTTGGTAGGATGGATTTGGATTTGGATTTGGTGGAGCACAGTATACTCTGGATACTTACCCCTTGGGATTCCGAGGTGGAAGAAGCTCATTGGGAGATGGAAATGGAAGAGTAGTATCTCCACCCACACCAGTTCGTCCAGTACTCTTAGTATCGTACCCTCCATGCATGCGGAGAGTATATTTATGTTCCCGCTTCATCTTCCATCCTAGTTTTTCCAACGCCTATCTATCTCGCCCTATGATGTGGGTATTGGGAAGGGGAGTAGCGTGAACTCGGTGTAACTAGGTTGAAGGGACTTGCTGTGTACCGGTGTACCGAAAAGATAGGCTGTGTATTATAGGCAGGAGATGGTAAGGAAGGATGATATGCTGTCAGAAAGAGTCTATCGTTATACTGCATTTGATGGTAATGGTTCTGGAACGCGGGGGTCATAATTTTGAAGACGGTGAGATAGGGTATTGATGATAGATGGGCTAGATTGGGTGGTGCGGTCTCGCTGTTGCTTTCTTATGGTCGACCTGTTGAGATAGAAGGTCTTGATAGGAATCGGAACTATCCGAAGCTCGGGGCGCGGCGGTGATCTTGTTGATTGCCATGGCTGTCGGGCTTTGATCGAGAACATTCGCTATCTAGACTCTAATTGAGCCTCACGGAACAATGTCTACGGTTGATTCCCGAAATCAGCATTTCTTATGTCAGCGTAGTTCATCACCTCTTTGAGTCTATGAGCCGAGACGGTTGTGTGGAGCTTCTTTTTCAAGCCCCGCAGAGTTAGTGGATAGATGTAGTTGTAAGGTGGATACAACTGTGCATGCTGAATCGGAGGACTCTTTTGAACGATCATCGATGATTCGGCGATGATGATGACTCAGAGATAAAAGATCCAAGAGGCAAGATGTCATCGAGCTACCACCACCATCGAACCTTACAGCCACGATCGAAGTCTGTCAAAAATGCGCTTGTCGCCTTTGCATAATCGCAATTCGATACATTGAAGATGGCCTCATATTACATCTTCAACTCCCCTTGAAACACATCTAGATCGTGATGCACTCTATTCTCAAGACCAGATCGTTGATCCTTTGCATGAATACATCTCCGCAGTCAATCTTGATTATTATTTTGCGCATCAATAACGAAACCGGCACATCTTGTCTCAACCATTGCCGCAGGAGCTATAGTATGATGACTCACAATCTTAGAAAAGACACTTGCACCTGCAATTCTCACACCTTTTACCCCATGGACACGTAATTCGTTATATACAACCCTAGGAGCATTTCATCGGTTTCAGAACCCATGCGATATGTTGATCAATATTGGAACGTATTTCGTATTCTGTGACGTATGAGTTTATCCATTTCTTCATGGTTTTCATTCTCGACATCGAGATCTTGAGACTCGCATGAAATGGTTACGGGACGGAGGACAGGAAATCCGGAAGAAAGCATGGGTTTGCCGAAGGCAGGGGCGAGATGGATGGCGCGTCGGGCGAGGATCATCATATTGCTTGGATTAGAAAAGATATCGAGATTGACGGCGGGAAAGGAATTGGGGGAGGTTAAGGGATCAAGAGGAGATGTTTATGTGGGAGTAGGTTCGATATTTGGGGATGATGAATCTTTGATGTGTGGTCTGGTGGCATCTTCATTGAGAGATTGAGATCGGATGAAAGTAAGTGTTTGAGATGGAAAACTCATGATACCGGTTCCGAAGAGAAGATATTTGCCTAAATTCTAATTCAAGAATGAATTTTAATGGAGATACGGCGACTTGGATGATGGATTACGAAGTTGGGATTTCCCATCCGGTAGCTCGTGGATGACTCTGATATTGGGTTCAAGAAAATGTTGATGAGGACCAATGCCGCTGGAAATGTTAATTTCTCAGATCAGAATCTGTTACTTTTTGGAGCTGCAATTCCTAACTTACCTCAACATCAAGACTTGTGGCGAACCTAGCGCACTAGAGCAAATATTTGCTTCTTTCTTTACCTTGGCCTCAAACATCTTCGTAGATGTTGGATCAAAGCTACCAAACATAACTTTACTCGCACGAGGAAGTCTAAAAGTCAATTCGATGTATAGAGTGTTGGTACATATCGTGAAATGATTTTCTCGCCCAAGAGCAATTTCTTTCAAAAGAAAAGAATGGAAAGTGGAATTTCGTTTTCGTTTTTGTTTTCGTTTTCAGTCTTCACTGATTTAATTGTATAGCATAGTTCATCCATCAACCGATGCATCTTCTATTAGTATCGATAATTCGAGGGAATCCAATTTATTAACTGCATCTGTAAACTTATCATGATACAGTTAGTAAGATCATTCCCGAGACGAAATAAGAATACATTTCTCACACTCTCAAATATCTCCATTTTTATTCCTCATACTTGAAAGATTTCATACCCATTGTCCTTGTGTTCTCCTTTCTCGCTTTTTCGCCTCCTTAATGTCTTCTCTACAACTTTCTCCGTTTTTTTTTTTGGAAATAAGGCCCCATATCTTTTCATCCCCATCCTGCATATCCTATCTCTTTCCTTTCTTCGTAAGCTCCTCTCCTTCCGCAAGTAAATACTTTGTTGGTAGCTCTACTCCCTCCATCTAGTAATTCAGCTTGGAAACTAGAGATTCTAATCATTACATACAATGTTTTAATGGAGAACAGAACTAGGATTTAGCACCTGAAGCTGAGGAGTGGGAATAGATGTTTGAGGAGAGAGTGGGACATATAAGAGATAGATATCATTTGCGGGACCACATTTGAAGAGGAGGATTTTATGGGTGGTAGAGGTGCTGAGATGGGGAGCGAGAACACACTTGGAGGTTCTGCCTGGGGAGGGGTTAAAGAATGCAGTTTGAAGGGGAGTAAGAGATGAGAGATGAGGAGTGAAGAAGATACCTTTAATTATTTATAGCCGTATTCTTTCTCATGTGCATATTCGGGGTATTTTTCGGGATATTTGGGGGAGAATGACCAGGGCCTTTTGAGGGAGATTTATTTGAGATTATCATGAGAGGGAATCTGTTAGGATATTGAAGTGTATGATTGAGGGTATGAGATGGTATAGAAGGTCATTAGGATATAAGGAATTTTAATTGAGGGTGTTAGATAACAGCTAGCTGGTTGCCAAGATGTTATTCTAAGTTGTCTTTGGGGAAATACAGTCGGTAAATATTGAGTCTATTGATTTGTGGTATTATCGTTGTTGGTTCTGTGAATTTGATTTAACTTGTATGGCTTATTGATATCAGAACGGATATACGTGTGCGTATAAGGTGATATTATAGTAGTTAGATGTGGTAGTGGTGAGAAAATTGAGAGAAGGTATTGTGTTTTCCAGACCAGGAGCAAATGTCTTTTTTAGCCTTCAGATATAAATCTACAATCAGTATTGTTTTTTGGATGATGGAAAAGAGATGTTTATATAGACAACAAATGCTAGCCAGAGATGAATACCATTATGTTTTTCGAGAAGAAAGATGCCCAAAAATTTGAGGCCCGAAAAGTGATTAGGAGGTCAAAGGTTGTATCCACGATTTCAGCCATCACATAATTGCAATAGATACACTAAAACAACACGATAGCTACAACGACGAAAGGGTAACTTGGCCGAGTGGTTATGGCGCCAGTTTCAGGCTGACCTGATTCAACTATCTTACTGGTTCGAAAGAGCGAGGGTTCGAATCCCTCAGTTATCACATTTCCGCAATCGTTTTGTCGTTTTCATTTTGGACGTTAGATAGACCTCAGACAACACAGCTTTTGAGGTTTACATTTTGCCGCATATAAAAAAGTACGCGGTGCGCCTGTGCGCTTATCGTTTTGGGTCCAAGCTCCGATTAGCGTGGCTAGCATATATGGTGGGGTCGAGCTTGCCCCTCTTCAGCCCCTCCTTCCTTCTTTCCCCCTTCGTTTCTTCCACCTCTACACACAAACGAGACTTTTGATTTTACCAAAGGTGATTTGATCTTTTGGATTCAAACAACTCTGATCTTGTTACAAACAACCAGGAGTGAATTAACTGACCACCTTTTCAAGAATAGCTCTTCGAATCTATCTTCGATTGACGACGGAAAGAAAGTAATGCTGTCGACACTAGGCTTTTTCCAATGCTTCAATTATCTACTTCTTCCCGAGGACGGCTATTGTTGAGACGAGACAGCTCGAGGGGTCGAAGAAGCACGGGAGTTAGCAACGCATGCCCCAGGTACAGCTAGCATATATGCATATGACGACGTCGGCATGTCCGACAAAGATATTACGTCCGTGAGGTTGGGAATCAAAGGAGACAGCCGTGAAGAAATTCGCAAGCTCTTCGATCAAGCAATACAAGTCAGTGCTCACTTTAGGTCTAGAAAACAAAATGACGAAGATGGAATTTCTTCGCTGAAAGCGAAATGAAAGACTTTAGGGCTAGTTTGGATGCGCAAATCCGGTCAGATTCTGTCGAACTATCCGCTCTTTTTGATAATGGATTTCTGATTTCTATTTGAATGGAAAATGACTTGAAATGATAGATTTTCCATAATATTTTATAAATCAATGAAATATTTTACAAGTCTTTTAAATTTTTAAATTCAATCTGCATTTCAATTCATATTTTTTATTAATTTGTATAAGAGAATATAAAACACAAATTAAAAACGATAATTAGAAAAAGCGGTCATCATTTTCGATTAATCGAAAAATCCACGAATTTGCAGACTCTTATAGGCTTTTTTATAGCTTAATACTTTAATGAATATATTCTAAAGCTTTAAACCCTTTAAATTAAAATCTGAATTTTAATTTCAACTAAATAAAGTGTAATTTTTATATTCGTTTTAATTAAAATAGGGTTATCTTTATATTTGCTTGTTTAATTATTTAAATAATAACAAATTAAAAATTTGAATTTTTTTATATAAAGAAATATATATATATTTCACTTTCTTTTAATTCTATGGATTTTATATTAAAATCGATATATCAATAGAAAAACAAAATATAAGAATTTGTTGTTTTGAAAACAAAAGAGTATTACCGCGGAATCCACTATGATAGAAAAAAGCGGATTATTCAGCGGATTCTGACCGGAATTGACATCCAAACTAGCCCTGATCCGAATGGGTTATAAGGCCGATGCAGCTTGCATAGCAGCCATCCCGAAAGTACACAAACTTGTAAGTCGCTTTACACACACAAGATCAAACAATAAAAATTCTCAAAGCTAAACTAACTTTGATTTAGTTTCAATGAACTTGCTAAGCGCCATGACGGGTATGATGTTAGTACGTATCGAGCCAGAAGAGTAATCGACAGCTTCGACGTTGACGACGATGAGAGAGCAACATTGCACACCAGCCTTGATGAAGTGCAACAGGAGTAGAAATCTGTCTTTCGACAAGCGACGCGAAGATATGTCGAATTGTTCAAGAAAAGCAAGATTGAAGAATACAAGGATTCCATAACCACTCTTGAAAAGAGGCTCATGTGGGAAGAAAGGATAATCATGGCAAGAAACTCCAGCATATTCAAAAAGACGAATTGACTAGGCAGACAATGTGATGAACCTGACACCATCCGGAGAACGGTTGATCGACAGGGTGAGATACCTCGAAGTGGATGAAGATCCAACCCAAGAAATAGATGATACGGAATGAGAGATTGAAAGTGATCCAAGAGAGATACTTGAAGCCTAGAAGGGCCTGTCCGATAACACAATCATTCAGTATGAGGAGTCGGAAAACGAAGGGGAGAGACCCCAATTCAAGGATCGGATCTCCTAGTTATCCATTTTCATCAAAGGCTGGAGAAGGTACGACATACCTCCCGAGCGAGAAATTACCGACGAGTCAGATTGCTACCGAAGCCACAGTAGTTGAGACAGTCACGAACAATCCTGCATCGAGCCACCGGTGTCATCTATGTCTGCTAGACGACACCGATCCTGTGGAAAAGAAGGAGAGATCCTGGCGTCTCCGTGAGCTTGATATCCACTTGAGCACAGACTATCATAGCCGCCTGAGTGTTTTGAAGAGAACTGTTGCGAATGAATTGAAGCTACAGGGGAGTGGGAAGTTGAGTTGCCCAATTTGTGAAATGACAAACGAAGGCGACGACGAAGAAACTGAACCGCCGCAGTTCGCTACGGCGTTCAAAATGGTTGAACATTTGACGAAAGTACACAACTATGAATGAGATGAGGTGATGGCTCGTGGTTGATGGGGTTTTGTGTTTGGAGTTTGGGGTTATTGGAGGGGGGGTTAGTGCTTGACTTGTGGTTATGGTGTTGTTTTGAGGCATGAGGTATAGAAAATGTATTATTATATTGATTATATAGTATTAAAGTGTTGAAGATTTTATTGCATTAATAAAGTAAACGCTTCGTTAAGTACGGAATCTGTCACCGCAGGGTCTGATTCGTATATATATAACTTATTAGTATAAATATTCTCGGAGTCTTAGATACATATATGAATGAATTAGGAGCAGAGCTCAATGTAGTGGTAATAATCACTTGTTGAGATTCAAGGTCATAGAGGGAAGGGGTGAAGGAAGATATACGAAGTATACCAAAACTATCGAATGGATATTGATTATAATTTGCGATGCGAGCGGTCTGATTTATAATACAGGGTGATTGTTGAAAGTTGAAAGTTGAACGGAGGAATGTGTAATGAATGTGAAGAATATATACTACATGTGTATTTGGAGATAAAATAATGGAGGAAAATATTATATAGTTATAGAATCAATCATTTGTATCCTGTTTGCATGCAAGAGTCTTGTAATCGTTGCGAGGGGAGAGAGTACGCCGAGAATTGACAAACTGCTTTGATTCGAATATATATTGAGTTACGTCTCTCCAGGTATGAACAAGTAATAATGTCACATGACGTGCCTCGGTGGCACAATTGGTTAGCGCGTGGGCCTTTTAAGCCCAAGGTTGAGGGTTCGAGCCCCTCCCGAGGCGGGATTCCTTTTACATTTTGTTGTGATTGATGTTTTTATCTTTATGCGGCTATGGGGGATTTTTTTGGTATGGTGTTGATTGATCATTCATGATGTAGAATGTGGATGGAAAGTTGTAGTAGATAGTTGAGAGAATTTTTTGACACCGGTCGATTTTAACGCCGTGCATCCACACTGGGAGAGAATTATCGACCACCGGGCAGGACTTTGTGGTTCAGACTTTCACGCTGGTTTCAGCATCATAATTTCAATAACAGAGTTTTAAACTTCTGCGTCTTTTTGTCAAGCAGTGCTCACACTTAACATATCACTATATTTATTCAGCCATCGACCGAGGAAGTAGTTGACAGACGCTAGAATCTTTACTCTCCCATGACTTTGCTCATGACCTAAACGTAACGTCTGTCTACTCACGACTCAATAATATGATTCTTAATCTAAAGAATCTTCACAGAAACTTTCTTATGATTCACTTGTTGAATGGTCGATCCACTTAGACCCGCAGAGATACGATACTCCATACCCGCCATATACCGGTACTCCGTACGTTTACTTGTGCAAGGCGAGACGACCTGGAGTAGAGGGGAAAGGATGTACGATAAACGCGGAGGGAAGATACTGGTAAATGTATGTGACCCTTCTCTTTGTTGCATGAACTCTCTTGACATCTATCACTAGCAAGTACACACTAATGATACTGCCGTGTCTCGACTCTCGAGCGTGTATAGTTATGGTCCTTCGGCTCATCACCCTGTAATACAACGCATTGACAACCTGCTGCGTACATCTATCTTATCGAGATACGAGCTTTGCTCTGCTACCACGATTGATAATAAACTAAGAGTCGGTATCTGAATAGTTGATACTATACCGAGGACTGTGGCTGAAGACAAACTATAATAAGATATGTTCAGGTCGACTTGAGGTTTATATATAATCCTTCGAAGTTCTCTGGAAATGAAGATTAGAGAGAGTTGTAATTGTTGACAAGATATACCTCGCTTGATAATTGAAGGACGATGGACACTGATAGAAGTATAGTGACAGTCCTTTACGAATAGAATATTCATCCAATTATCCTGATACTGCAGCGTCAGTGTCGATATATAGATTTGTGAGAAGAGCAATTAATCCATTAGTTTTTATATACTTATGGCTAGAGAATAGGTGGCTAGATCCACCAATTAATCGTTCCACTTACTATCCACCAATTTGGCAGGTCGACGCCCTTGGAGAAAAAAATGTATGGAGAAATTTGATAAGCGGTCAGATTGCTAATGATCATTCGCTGTCAGCACGCCTTTTGCTTTTCGGGACGACATACCGGTATTGAGTTGTAGATTATAAATATATCTATCGACATCTTGGAGTATTTAAGTAGGAGAGAGGTTACGATAGCTTCCATCTTTTAATAGACTTACGAACTACTCTTGTTCATCTCCTGTTCATCTCATTCATATACTATTCACTCTGACTGATGGACGAGACCCAGCCATTGCTCGCACCGGTACCACCGCCTACAATCGCAGCTGGGCTATTTCCATACATACCAGAGGTTAATGTTCCAAATGATGAATCTTTCGATCATAGAGCTGAATTCAATCCCAATGGAGACCCCGAGAATCCATTAGAATGGCCAAATGCTTATCACAATGGAGTGATTTTGCTTTTAGCTTTCATGGCTTTCACAGTGTACGCATCTCATCCCACCTTCAACCCGAACTCAATATCTAACAATCCATCAGAACATTCACCTGTATCGGTGCAGTTCCCATCGCCCGACAAATCATTCTGGATCTCGAGAATCAAGAATCCAAATCTGCATCCGTTCTTCTGGTGACGATATGGGAACTCGGAGAGGCAGCTGGCCCGTTACTCATTGCCCCACTTTCCGAAGTGTACGGTCGAGCGGCAGTTTTTAACGTGGCAAATATCTTGTTTATTGTCTGGACCGTCGTGGCTGCGTGTAGTCAAACGTCGCATTTGTTCATTCTGTCGAGATTCATGACGGGCTGTGCGGTGGCTTCGAATGTCTTGAATCCGGCTGTCATCGGTGATATGTTGCCACCTGATCAAAGAGGTTCAGCTATGGCAACACTCATGCTTGCACCGCTTTTGGGCGGTGCTATTGGACCTGCTATTACTGGAGCAATTGCTCAGTCGATTGGATGGAGGAATGTCCTCTGGTTCGCTGCGGGTATGGCTGGTGTTTGCGAGCTTTGTTTCATCCTTCTCTTTCGCGAAACGTATAAAACTCGTATTTTACAACGAAGAATTGCAAGGTTAAAGAAGCAAAAGAATGAAGATGATTTGGCACTCAAAGATGTGGTCGAGGAAGAGTGTGAACATACAGCGATTGCTATATGGAAGGCTATCAAAAGGCCCGCAACGGTATTTGGAGGATCCTTCGTGCTGCAAATTTTGTCATTTTATGGTGCCATTGTGTTTACATTCTATTACATCGTGTCGACAACTTTACCGGAGGTTCTCAAAGATGTGTATGGATTTGCTCCCACGAAAGTCGGTTCTTCTTTCATCGTTTTTAGTAAGTATTAAGCCATCCCTTGCAGCGAATTCACATCTCTGACTAACATGAATAGGCGTCGGATCAGCCTTTGCCGTCTTCGTTTGTAATATGCTTATAGATCGCATTTACATCTATCTTCGAACCAAAAGCAACAACCAATCACATCCAGAATTTCGTATGCCTCTCACTATATTGGGTGGTTGCATGCTTCCCATCTCCATCGCGCTTTTTGGATGGGCCGCCGCGAAGGGTTGGCCCGTTGGATTACTTCTCTTTCTCATTGGTCTCCAAGGTTTCGCTATCTTAACGGGCATGGTTCCATTAATGGCTTATGTGGTGGATGCGTTTGGATTGTATTCAGCGAGTGCTTTGACAGCGGTACTCATTGCAAGATGTTTGACGAGTACGTTTTTACCGTTGGTGGTTGGTCCGTTGACTGATCATTTGGGGTATGGATGGGGATTTACGATACTTTCGGGAGTGTGTTTGGTGGTGGCGCCGGTGCCATGGTTGGTTATGAGATATGGTGAGAAGTGGAGACAGTGGTCTGCGTATACGAGGGATAATTGATTATGATTTATGATAGGATTGGTGGATGGATTCGGGATTGGCTTGAGTAGAAGACAGACGGATGGTTGGAAATACTATTGTTGATATGGTTATATGGTTGCAAATGTGTATAGAAAATATATATATCATGGGATGATACGCAGATTACCTTGTCTTTTTGTCAAAGTTTCATCCTTTGGGCAGGGCTCGGAATAGCAAAACCTGGAGTAAATACTCCAATATACTCAGTCTTTCAAAGTCTGAAAGGAAATGAAGATTCCAAAATTACGTAGCTGATGTACATCTATGAGACCAAGTACATCATTTCTCAATTACTGTCTACGTACTATAACTGAATATCTCTAGATCCAATACACTATTTGAATCCCCTAGAAGAGGTAAAATTGTATATATATAATTTCTTCATTAACGAAATAGCTGCTTAGGTTACCAGGACAAGATATAGCACCTCAGACATAGAATGATATTCACGAAGTCGCCTTCTTGATGAAGTGGTTTACTTTTCGTTCGTTCACCTTTCTTCCATTTCCTAGTGATTAAACTGGTATTCTTCAATTTATCTTAAATCAATACATAGAATCGTTTTGAGTGCCTCTTCAGCGGTTGATGTATTTTTTAATCCTCCCTTGAAGCTTCCTCATCTTTTGTCGTGTACACGAGAAGATGGGAGGATGTTTCACTAACCACACATAGACTCCCCCAACAATAAATAAGAATTTTAAGTCACTTCAGTACTTCAGTACTTCAATTGAAGGTAGGATGAAAATATCATCTTAATTCACTCTTCGATAAATCTACCCTCAGCTCAGACACTTCTTCCTACAAATTTCCTCGGCTGCAGAAATCTCAAATAACCATATTAGAGACGGCTCTCCGAGATATTCGCTTCAGCAACTCCCCATATTCAGAGTAGATTTGACCGAGTTCTTCCCTTTACAACATGTTCCACAGACGTCATCTCGGTACGTCCTCTGTAAGATGAATAACTCGCCGTCTTGACTCTTCGAAAGATGGAAGGGATTCAACTACCGGTTGTGATTGAGCTAGAGCTTGTCTGTATATCCGTGCTAGTTGAAATTGTGGATCCGCGTATATCCTCATTCTCGGATGTATTGTGCGCCGTAGAGTGTGGTAGTCGTAGGGAAATGAAAGACTGCGCGGATGGACTGGATGTCCTTGAACCGGTTTGTTGTCGCTGCTTGACTAGACTGGCAGAATTTCATCTATGGTGCATATTCCAGTCAAGGTTCAAATGTGTAATCTCAGTTCAATGGGTTCTACTGATTCGTATTTGTGCACTCTGATCTCACTCAATGAGTGTCTTCTTTTCAGGGTGTTGAAACCGATCCATGATGTTGAGAACTCTTAAGGTGCATCATCGATCGATCTTGATGGTCTCGAATAGATTTGAGGGAGAGTATATGTGATGTGACATGTACTGCCGTGGTGGAAGAGTGATTGTTCTTTGTGGTACTCTCGGATCCGGGACCGTATAGCTTGATAGTGAGGCGGGGGAATAACTTTGTAATTTCGTTGTGTTAGGAGGTTGAAGTATTGGCTAGCACTACAATCAAGGAAACTCTGGGTGTTTAGTTCTTTGCCACTTGTGGAGAATTTGCCATGGCCGGATTGGATAACTCCAGTGTTTGAACAGCCTTGCTTTGCTCAGTTTCATGTGATAACCAAGAATCGTCCCGTAATTTCGCATGAATTTAACTCTGGCCAGAATTGCAGTTGATGAGATCCCCGATGAATAGCCAAAGTCTCCAGATGGTCTTGATTTTGAGGTATTTAACTGCCTCGGACAAGGTTAGTCCATTCGCCATCCCATTTGAGATCCATCTCGCAAAATTGACCTTTCCGATTGACTCTCAAGATGGCTTCAAAAGCTTCATAAGCACCGGTCGTGAAAACTTCTACCGCAAAGTCATCTGGGCCAGTCTTGCAAGTCCCTCCCTCTACAAGGGTTGATGTAGTGTAGTGAGCATTAAGAATGCATCGCGATCCATTTTGAACATCCACTGTGCTGCGTTTGTCAATCGCAGCATGATTCATATGAGTGTATTGTGTGCGAAAATCGACTGTTTTTTGTGGAATTTTCCAGGGATAACGAGTTTTGGGTGGGATAGTGGCTGTAAACGATCGAGCTCCGCCAACTTGCAGGCTTCCTTGATGAACCCTTTAAATTCACTCTATGCTTCAGTCGGGTGCGTATCTATATGATCGAAGACATCTTCGTCAATGATCGCCCATGGGTATTGTTCGGCGGAGATTCATTGACTTTCTTCAGCCAGTAACTATAAGGAGGTTCGATCTTGGCGGCCCCTTCTTCCCCAGCCTTTAGTACATAGTCATGGTAATTGGTTGCATATATGAAGGCGAAATGGTCTGGGTAATCGATCTTGCAATTCAGGCCAAGTAGTTGAATGATAGTTAGTAATGACGTTTTCAAAGTATGGTAAACTTGTCGGAAAGGATGGGTATCTGTTTAGGAACAGACGGTGCTTGGATTCCATTTTCCAGATCGCTTTGGCTTCGAAATGCAAGTTGCTGCAGAGCTTGAGGTTGAGGAGATTTGGAATGTTGGATAGTTGGATGGGAGAAAAGGGGAGAGAAGGGGAGTGTGCTCGAGAGATGTGTAAACTAGGTAGGTAGGCGTGGTAGGAAGTTTACCCAATATTCACTTTCCGAGTTTCAGAGCTGGAAAGCGAGAGATAATTAGAGAACTTCTAGGAGATGGAGTGAATCGTTTGGAATTTTCGCTTAGTTTTGCCAGAACGACTTGTCGGCTAACCGTGATATGGGTTGGTAGAATCTTTTGAAATGGTCGACAAATAATATGGTTTCTAGAACCTTACAAACAGCTTTCAATCGATCTATTTATTACTATCTTTCTCTTTTTCAAACTCACGCGTAAGAGTTCAGAGCACTCCAATTTCATTTCCTGGAGAATTTTTCTCTGTCGCCATGATTTAACTGGAAAGGTATGTGTCACTTGGCAGACTGTTTGAAGGATATTTACCAATGTGAATACCTACTTACTACGAATAGCACGAATCACTACAAAAAACCCCCCAAAAAGCCCCGAATCAACATTCTCACAACCCGAAAGATGAAGAATGTATCTGTCAACTAGTTGTCATCCCAATCCTTCTAAATCAAGGAAGTGGTATACGATAAAGCAAGCATACTTCAAACCATGGAACCAAACACCAAGTACAGATGGAATAGTGCCATGTCCATCGAAAAATCGACCGATGCGGAACTATTTGCGGTAATGTGCGAGGAATCGCCGGTAGTGAAGCAGAGCGTTTTTGGTTGCAAACGTGGTGTTTGTAATGAAGAGAAACGTTATCGTGTGGACAGATTTTCCCATCCCACAGTTTTTCATTGGAATGGTAAGAAGTTTCTGAAGGGGACGTGAAGAGAGGTAGGAAAGATGCTAATGTGAAATCATAGTTTTTGATGACGACCGGTTGTCCTTGCGAGTCATATCATTCCGGCCTAAGCGAGGTGGAACGACAAGACGCAGTATGAATAGATCCAGTTGGAAGCCGATATAGAAATTAAACAAACCTTGTGATCCAAGAATTTATATACCATGAAGTGTAAGAATATACTCTGATTTTAGGATCTTCTACATGAGTGAATGATTGCAGATTTCCATCTGGATACCAAAGAATGGGTTGTTGTATTCGATTACTTTGGAAATCATCTATCATTGAGGAGTGGCACCGGAAGCTTAGCACAGCGACATTCAACTGAATGTACCTTTTCATTACCGACTGGAGAAAAAATCATCACTGCCAATTGAGGAGCTTGTCGGGTATCGTAAGAAGATTATGATCTCATGATGTCCTTAAGACGTGTGATATTATAACAAGGCATGGACGCTCGATTCACATCCAAAATCAAGTACCTAGGTAAGTGAAAAAGACGTATGTGTACTCAGCGTTGACACAGGACTCGATCAATTGAATTTTATGTAGCATATATACGTAGTATTACGTGCAGGAATATAAATAGATGCTGCATAGTTTTCACACTCGAGAATTACCTCAGTAGTAATACTGTATTGTCGTTGGTGAATGTTTTCAGATGGAACGCAGAATAAAGAAGAACATCTAACGTACATACCTGTGCCTACTCTAAATCAGTGTGGGTGGAAAGAAGTATTAAACAGTGGAGAAAGGATCAATTGATTTTTACACGCTTTCATACTACTACTATATTCTAAACTCGATATTTTCGCATCTTATTACACACTCTGCGCCGAGTTGCTAGGTAGTAGGTGGCCCATTGTGTAGAGAATCGAGATCTAACAGTACCCCAATGATGTTCCACGCCCATTCTGTATGGAGAAAACATAAAGAGCCAGCAAGACGGTAAGATTTATGCCCTCAGTACTTGATGCCCGTACAGATGTTCAAAAGCCAGCTGCGGCTCGGCAATGAGCGAAACTCGACATCTGAGCCCGCCTGGGAAAATTGGATCCCTCATGAATATTCAATCAAACACATGCATTCATCTTATTTGGAACTTCTAAACGCCTTGAATATTTCAACTGAGCTGGGTCATTCGGTTTATCCTGATTTTTGAAGTAAATCTCATACACCCACATTCGATAATTTTGTCAGGAGTATTGGAATTGCTCTTAACCGATAAATGCAGTCTTGTTTGAACTTTTGAGATAACTACCTCACTGATTGTCCTATCTACTAGCTTAGGATTAGTCATCAAGAGATATACCTTAACAACTTTTTTCGGTACTTTCTTCTATTTTAGGCAAGGACAAGTGGGGAAAAGGGGGTTTCGACCAATACTTCGCTTGCGTGACAAAAAGATTCACGATACTATTCTCCACCAACTCCACCACCGTCTAAGAAAGAATTCAATTTGGATATATTTTTACATACCTGACGCGCTGGCATCTACGATTCCTCACTTGGTGTAATGGTCAGCACGTCGGATTCTGATTCCGGAGATATTGGTTCGATTCCTATAGAGAGGTTCACATGTCATGATGAACCTTCTACTGTACTCAGTTAGAATCTGAGTTTGAAGGTTTCTCTTTTTGTTCTTGAATAGCGAGCAATGGTTAGTGTTTTTCGAAACCCTGCGAGAAAATCATTGCGTCGAGGTTTTGACGAAAAGTTTTTGTATGGCGTAAAGGTAATATTTTCCATGTTTTAGGGCGTATCAGAATCATTGTGTGAAGCTTTTTATAGAAAGTCTCTATAAAGTATATCTCTTTACTATACCTACTGTACTTCGTATACTGAATCAAATAATTATCCAATGGATTACATAGTCATGTATACGAGTGAGAGAGTAATGGCATGATACAACTTAGAACAATCATAAGGACTTGAAAGGGGTCGGGGTTACGAAGGGTTTCTTCTTTGTTCCGCACGCTCACTCCCCACTCCCAGGCACATTAGAGTGGAAGTACGAACAGTTCCCTCTGTATCTGAATTACAACTGTCAAACACAAAGGCTCTAAAACAATGCGGGCGCCAACTCGCCTACAACTTATTTTGTGATTGACAGGCTTACCAAAAACCGGACATTTATCTATATTCAGGGTTTGCACCTTGGGAGAACGTCTTTTACGAAATCTAACTTTTGTAAACAGATCATCTACTAACACTCTACTCCCATACGAAATTCCAGCCTTGTACACTCAATATTCGAATTGATTTTCATTTTTTCAATGGCGGAAAACCCCACCTAAAAATTCTCGCTCCCAGCACAGCCTTAACATTGCCTTTATTAATTAACTTGGATTGCGTCTTCCATCATCACATGATATCCCTGCTGGCGCAATGGTAGCGTGCAAGACTCCTATTTAGGACTTAATCCTAATTGATTAAATCTTGAGGCTACAGGTTCGAGTCCTGTGTAGGGAGTTTACGCAAAGTAAAATCGGTTTGATTCCGAGAACAGTCATTACATTTTTGAATTTTACAAGACCCCGTTCGTTTTGCGGTTGCACGATGTTTTCCGCATTAGAACAGTAAGCTGCGGAGACTAGCGGCCGATTTTTGCGATGGTTTATCAGGGCTTATTGAATTTTGTAAACTTTTTCTCAAGGGAAGGAGGATCTAGCTCTGGAGTAATAAGTATCTGTGTAGTAGACGGACGGGATTTGGATATTCCTTTTTGTTTTGAACGTCTAATCCTCTTTAGATAAGCCCCATGGAGCAATACACGAACCTTACTATGCCCATTAACCCAGATAACTCTACAATCCTTACCTCTACCCCGCTTGTGATAACCGATTAAAAAGTCTCATCGGTAGTCTACCTCCTTCTCCTCCGCCCATTCGCTTCAACCGACGCAACTCCAAAGCCCCATCAATCATTTGAAAGAAAATCGCATCTCTCCTCTTGTACATAGCTTCTCCATTAATTTCCATATTATCTACCCATAAATCCTTTGTTGTATCCACAGTCCCAAGTAATTCCCAACTGGCTATTCTTTCCTCAGACGATGAACATGAGAGGAAAGGTCGCGATTGACTGCTAACGAAGTCTCTTGACAAATCAATCGTCCTTCCTCGATTCATGGAAATGATAATTTGAATGCCAGACTTTTTGAAGACACGCTGAGTAAACTCGATGGTTCAATTTAAGTTCGATATATCACAATATTCACAGAGGTGGTCGAACCCCCCCCCCCTCCCCCAACCCCCGGAGCCCCTTTCTTGTTCTTGCGAACAGTCTATCTCCTTATGATATCTCTGAATCTCTCCAAGCTTTCTTCGTATCAATTAAGATGACTGAGAAGGTCTAACTATAGAACACTTATATAGAAGCTATTATAGGTGTACGAAGTCTTACATTATGATGACTATCGTATCAAGACTGTGGAATCCAGAGGAACTTTCAGAGCCTTCAATTCTTTGGATTAGTTAAACATCACATGTAGAATCATCGATTAGCCAATCATAACGTGGTAATCATCAAAATCATCACTCTGCATAATTTGTTGCACATCGCAAAAAGGGCGAAAGAAAAGGGCCTCCAGTTTCATGTTGAACGCCCTTAAAAAGCCCTTTTGCACAAATTGTCGAGTAATCTCATTGTCCAATCCAATCACACAGATTCGTTGACATGCAAATCAGATCATGTATCTTACGTATAGATATGCAACACTACCTCTCAAGACATCTCACCAACGAATGGATGTGATTGGAGACGGGCAACGGGCTTGCAGACCTGATAAGCTGTGATTGGATGGTACGTAGGGCGTTAAAGCTCCGACCTCAAATCCAGTTTTACCCAAACATTTGTTGCACCTCTGACCTTCAATGTCCCCTTTTTCTTTGCCCTCTCGCCCTTCCTTTGCTATCGCCCTTCAGCCCCATCTTTGAAATCTTTCACCTCGTTAACTGATCGCCCAATCATATTCACTTACTCTCGCTTCAAATCTAGAATTCAACACATGTTGCACATCGTACCTTTTGTTGCACATCATAATTGACCTTGGTGGTGTCCAATAGCTTGAAGGTCCGAGAGCTGAATGAGAGTGGATATCCGAGTGTCCCGAGAACGAATAGATTAGCTGAATCGGCAGAGTTTTGTGGATTAGCTACGGAGACATGGGTGACAATATCATGGCAAAAACGTGAAAACCACGCTCAATGTTTTCAGATGTGCAACAAATTGAAGAACAAAAAGTTTGACATAAGAATAGAAAAGAAACGTGATCTTGAGGAAAGTCATGAGACTTGTTATGTAATCAGGCCTTCTTCCATAAATTGATTATTTTTGAAGATTAGTTGCAATGTTCGCGTAATGCTAATGTCAAGCAAGCACCAACCTCGTCAAAAGCATCATTTTGTTATCTACCTATCCTATTCATTGATAGCATAGGGTTGATGCAAGTTTATATGATCGCATCTCATTACTGGCTAAGAAACCCCAAGTTTTGGGCTTGCCTCCGGCTCCGCTTTTACACGTTTCAGCCAGCAGCAAGCCAAGTACAACACCACAATGCGCGTTTGAACGATGTCGTGAATATTACACAGGAGACTCTGTGATTGGTACCTGATGACCGGGAAGACAAGTGAAAAAGCGGTACAACATCAAGTGATGTTATGGCAACATCTTGATATATCTTGCTTGCTTTCCTTGGGTGAGTTACATAACACACCAGGGTTCTCGAGCATGTTGTTTGTGTGCAAATACTCGCACTCTGATACCACCCGTACGAATTTTGATGCGAGATAGGCCTCCAAAAACTACACACAGCAGGTTCAGATTTCGTAAACTTTGGAAAGAGACCGTGTTGTCTTTTGATATTGTTTGCCAACTTTAAGCTCGACATTTATTCCGCAAGCAGTCTTTCGAATTCTAAATTCTAAACTATATAATGTGCTGGAGTAACACCAAAAACGAAGGGCACAACACAATTGATCTTGGATGGAGCTTCAATAATTTAGCTAAAGTCGACATGGCGGGGTAAGTCACTCTCAAGGGGATGGGGATACAACGATGCTCGCAAGAGTTCTTTCCCAGTAGACTCATCAGATCGATTATTAATAATTCCATCCGAGCTAAGAATTTTGTTAGGAAGAAAGCACTTGGCAAAATCTAGGAATCTGAAACCAGTCTCACAAAATCTTTGCGAAGTACATGGCAATTGAAAAGAAGAATGGAGATCTGGCCCTGTTCATATAGTGGCTTTGGTGGTATTGTCCACTCTTTAGTGCCATTTTGCCACCCTAGTTTGATTCGGACAATCTCTAAGTGGTTAATCATTCTATCATTCGAGAGTTTTGTTGCACTTCTGAATCTCCAGATTTATAGGCTATGAGCTTGGTACTACAAGCCTCGATGACATTGGTAGTACCACATACATCAGAACGGCTTCTAAATGGGATTCCATGTGCCTAGATCTTATATAATAGATGCAATAAGTTGACTAAGCCATTCAATTTTTACATGGTACCTATAAATTAATTACTCAACTATCTGCCTATGTCTTCAGGTAGGAGGACTCAAACCGTGACTACGTACTGCTTCTCTGCACTTGAGGATTTAAGTGCGTATACCGCAAATCACATCAGTACATGGGATAACTATTCACTGCTGTTGGCGAGGTCTGTATCTCATCAATCACTCCTGTTTAGACCTTTGTCTTTTACGATTCCCTTTTGCCGATATCATGAAATATTGATTGTGGATCCAATGATTTAGTGTTATACTTTCAAGGGTGCAAGGGTCGTGTAATAGTATTTCACAACCGCTATTGGTCTTTGCGTCTACCGTTCTGGAAGCTTAAACATCCGGACGAAGACGAGCGTGCGTAAATCTCGCTTGTTTCACATCGTCTTTATTTTTGTCCTGGGCCAATGATGACTTTCTATTTTAACTAGCTTGTGGTTGAAGAGCGTGTATTGATTTGTTCGAGAATCCCCAAGAACAAAATGGTGTCAAACTATCTCTCATCGCATCGTTTCTTCACGGCACGGTTTCAATAGATTGGACCCATCAAAGTCAGACGTTCAAGGGATGATTCTTTGTACCCCAATTCGTTTACCCCTCAATCAGGCAATCATGTCCTCAAATAATCCTAGTTTATCTACCAAATCTTCCATTTTGGCCACAGAAGTAATCCTAGTTGAGATTATAGTGAATTTTGTTACCCCATCGTTTGGTTTGAGTTTGTAATTTATTATCGATCTATTGTTTCTTACCTGACGGATCGCTTGAACGACAGATGACAAGTTTCAAGGAGAATCCATGATCCTGTGTCATGTTCACAGTATGTACGATTTATGAGAATGATTTGATAATCGATGAACATATTAATATTCCTTCCAGCTGTCAAGTTCAAAAATAATGAAGACATCCAAACCATCTTTTAATATACGTCGATTTGTGTGAAAAACTTCTCTAATAATGATTTCTCTTACAAACGTTCTCCAAGCTGGACGATGGAGACCGCTATTGGCTTTTGCAATCCTCATAATATGTCTCTTTACAATTTCATCTCTCAATCACCTCCCACAGTCATCGCTGCGACGTAGAGCATTACATGGTACATTAACAATACCACCATTCTCAAAGAGTCTTCCTCTAACTAGTACAGCAGATAATCATATTGAAGAACGAGGTTTTTTAGAAGCGATAAGCAGTGCTGCTGAAAAACTTATCGGCGGAGGCAAAGGTGGAGGCGCCTTATCGACAATAGGAGAGCTGTTCTCCGGGAATATATCAGGAATTGTTAGTGGATTAGCTGCAGACATAGCTGTGCCTGCAGGATTTCTGGGAAATGGCCTTGCCTTGGGTGCTCTTGCCGGAATGATGAATATGTCCGTACCAACTACGAATGCCACTGGATTTAACTTGGTAGCGTACAATCTTGGCTCTGGACTTACAAAGAGCTTAGTTGGATCCGTTTCAATGGTACCAGCTGGTGCCGATATGGAAGCTGCAAAAGCTGCAGCCAATGATCCAATGGCTATGCTGATAGGAGCCGGAACAATTAATGGAGCCGCTCTTGCTCTCGCACAAGGTTTAGGAAGTGGAGCTTCCCAAGCATTAAAGTTCACAGCACCATCGCAGAAGGCTGCTTTCAATACGAGTGGTATCAATGGCGCAGCTGGAAATCTAGGCCAGGGTCTCACATCCTCATTTCTCTCTGGTATCAATACCACCAGTCTCTTCTCAAACGCAATGCCTGGTATCAACATAAACGACCTGATACAAGGAAATGCTACTATTCTTGGAAGTTCCCTGAGCCAACTCGCCGCCGGTGCCGGCACTGGTCTCGGACAAGGAACAACTATTGGTCTCGGACTTCAGAATGCAGCTACAATGGAAAAATCTCCCAATGGATCTGCTGGAGCCGTGCAAGAATTTACTATGGGACTTACATCCAGCTTTTTGCAAAATGGCACATTGTCGAAATTAATGACAACATTAATGGGTCCAGGAAGTCTTTCGAATGCTATGGGTATGGGTGAAACGGAGGCAGATATGAGTTCGGGCTCCTCTTCTTTTCTCGCCAATATGAACATCGCTGCAGTAGCACAAGGCTTTGCAGTAGGACTTCTTGACGGAGCTGGAAATACTCTGGCTGGAATGTCTACACCTCCAATGCAGACACTGATGTTTAATGATTCAGTTGGTGGAGCAGCGACGGGATTCGGTCTTGGTTTAGGTGCACAGGGTACCACACTTGTGAAGCAAGTGCTCGCAAATCCATCGATCATCTCAAATTTTACCATGTCATCGACTGCCAAGCGTCATCTCCTTCAAAGTCGAGCCATGATCCCAGCTTCCAGTATATCAGTCATCCAACGCCGCGAATCGGATTCTTCTTCTGATGACAATTCTTTCATCAACGCTCTCAATTCTACAACTCTTGATCCTATCCTACAAATGGGAATCGATACTATCGGCTGTGCAGGTGTAGGTGGACTCGCTTCAATTGGGTTTGGACTTTTCACAACGGGAACTATCGATATCAATCAATTAACGGGGATGCTCAACATGAATCAAGACATTACGAATAATCAAACTTTCATCCTCGAAAACGGGGGCAATACATATACCATTAATCTCGCCAAAATGGATATCCAGATTAATGGCATGCCAATCCAGAGAGCAATTCTATCGATTGTTTTACATAGTAAGTTTTTTTTTTTCTTCACTCCAACTACAAAGTAGAAACAGTCGAACTAACATCCTCTCAGTCGTTTTCGCAATCCTAACCTACTTCATCCTCGCGCCAACATACATCTTAATACACAGCACCAAGCGCGTAACAACTCTCTCCTCCCTCCCTTCTCCCTTCCCAGCCTTCAAATCACCCCTCTTCACTACCTTCATCCCGGCCTTCCTCTACATCATCTCACCAATCCTCATCATCGCCACCGTCATCCTCGGGTTCGTCATCAAAGGATCATCATCCGCATCCCTCTCCGCCCACGGCATCATCGGTATAATCCTCCTCGTCCCCACCTTCTTCACATTCGCCACCTCCGCCTCGGCCATCCAACGCAAAAACCCCGGACTAAAAACCCTCTACAAATTGAGCTTCGGCACAACAATGATCGTGGCTGTCTTGGTACTCTTTTCCGGATTCGTCGATCTTGCGAATTATACTTTCTGCGCAGTGCAAGCACTGCCTATCGTGGCGTGGATTGTTCTTGGGGGGGTTTTACTAGGGCCCATGGGGTTGGCGGGTGGAGTTGTGGGGATGGAGGGATTACTTTCGAGACAGAGGGGGAAGCAAGGGGTTGAGTTGAGACCGGATATGCAGAAGGGGGATGAAAAGACAGGGAGTTACTTCGATGTTGATGATGAGAGAGGAAGAGTTGCTGGAGGAAAGGTGTAATTCAATTGCGCGAGGAGTTGGAGCGAAATGATTTTTATCGTATGGTTAGGATAGGATACCCGGATTGGGCTGCCAGTTCACTTGTTTTTCTTTTATTTCGTATTCAAAACGAAAGTTTTTGTATTACTATTATCATTAGATAGTTTTTAGATATTTTTAATACAATCGTCTATCAGGTATAGACTTTCAAAGATTATAAGAAATTTGCAAGGATTTTGAGCGAACATGTTGATCGTAGAATGATATGTAACTAATCGAAGAGAAAGACTCTATATATGAGACTATGTATAATTATGTATAAAATTCTAACGGTATATGTATATAATGCGTTTCCATCAATCATAAATACCCAATTATCCATCCGGTCCCAAAGCGCATGTTTCCGTAATCAATTCAATATCGTCTGGGTATCATCCAGACCTTTGGTTCAAAATGCAAATTCCAACTCTAGATCGCAAACCAAGATCTACGCACGCCATGCAATAAATGGCTGTTCTCATAAGAAAATCTCTGTTCGTCAGTTTTCTCAAGCAAGAGCTTTCTCACCATCTCCATTTGCCTGTACAACCGGCACTCCAGCTTCTACATCTCCCGCTTTCTTCGCCTGCTTAGCTTCGAGTCTGAGTTTTTCCTGTTCTGCCAATCCCACTTTCGTGGTCTCGTGTTCTTTACTGAGCACATGTTGACCGATAGCAAAACTGATTGCCAAACCCAGAGCTGCAAATACTACGTATATAATCCACTATATTTCAATTAGCATTTCTCATTACTTGATAGGAGCCTCTCCTTAAACGGCTCCCGAAAGTGAACTTACCATAATCCTCAAACTTCCCCAATAAGCATCCCTTGCAACTTCTCTTCCAGCAGTAGGTAAATCCTTAACAATATCCACACTGGCACCCGCATCTCCACCACTCAACTCCGATGCCACGCTACTTCCCAGAGCTTTGATCAGTTCCGCACTCTTTTTCTGCATCTCATTTTGAAATACTACACTTCCTACTACCACACTAATACTAGTGCTTAGATTTCTGGTAAATCCAAATGTGGCGGTTGCAGTCGCGATATCTGCTTTCTTGACCAGGGTTTGTAAAGCGATAAGCGGGGACTGGAAATTGGGTCCTACACCAATACCGGCGATGATTTGATAAATGATGATCTTAGACCAAGTAGCCTTGCGTGGGAGATTGATGAAGAGACCAAATCCGAGTGTCATAACCACGAGACCGAAATAGATGGGTGGGAGGTATTTGCCGGTTTTCTTGATGAATACACCTGTTATCGCGGATGTCAAAGACAAAGAAAGAGCAAAGGGTAGTAAATAGACACCAGAAAGTAGAGGGGTAGCGCCAAGAACGGCTTGGAAATAGAGCGGGAGATAGTAAGAAGCTGAGATGAAGACGAATCCATGACAAAAACAGACGCCCAAAGCAGCAACGTTAGACCCATGTTTGAAGAGTCTAAGAGGCATGACTGGGTATCGAGCGAATTTCCATTCGTTGAGTACGAAGAGACCAGCAACAATTATTCCGAAGATGATCAAGCAGATGACCGTGGCTGAACCCCATGGTTTTGTGACACCTCCGAATTGCAGACCGAGAAGAACCATAAGCGTACCGCCGATAATTAGTAAACTTCCGAACCAATCTACGGCTTTTAATCCATCCCAGACTGGTGTTTTTGGATTATCGAGATGGAGGTAGAAAAAAAGTGCGATTGCGACTGTTCCCGTAATCGGTAACTGTTAATTTCCAGTTAGTTTTCGAATTCCTTGAGAACCCACCACAGAAGGATATTAAATCTCAATATCAAAACTCACATTAATATAAAAACACCATCTCCAGCTAACTTTCTGGGTAAATACACCTCCCAACAAAGGACCAATCGCACTAGCGAAAGCCCAAGTCATTCCAACCAATCCAAAGTATGCACCCCTCTTCCTCATACTGAACAAATCGCTAATGCAGATATTGACTAAAATGATCAATCCGCCACCCCCAATTCCCTGAATTGCTCGCGCCACAATCAACATCCCAATACTAACACTCGTGGCTGCCAATAAACTCCCAATGAAGAATACTCCAGCCGCTATCAATAAAATCGGTTTCCGTCCCCATATATCTGAGAATTTGCCCCATGAAGGTGTAGACGCCGCGTTTGCGAGCAGATAAGCGGATCCGATCCAAGTATATCCAGCATTTGAGTGAAAATGTTCTGAAATAGTAGGGAGAGCAGTGGTGATAATCGAGACATCGAGAGCGGCGAGGAAAACTGATGCGCAGAGTGACAACATAATAACAGTCGTTTGTAATTTCGTGCGCGAAGCTTCCGGATCTTGCGGAGAGGGCCCAGGAGGAGCCGCAGTTCTGGTGGTCGTGGCGACATCGACGCTAATTTGATTTGAGGCGTGGTTTTCGGAATCTATGACTTCCTTTTCGCTATCTTCTGGAGTTACGGCGGTCGATGCGCAGGAATTGGGTGAAGGTTGATGTGTAGCGGGTTCTGTAAGTATTTCGTGTGCTTTAACTGTCGTATCAACAGCGTTTGTCTGTGTTGGAGTAGCACCTGCCATTTTGGCGCTGTCGTACGTGTACAACGTATCCAACCAAATCCACGGATACTTCTGTAAGTTTCTATTATTGTTGTCCAATCTCTTAGCAAGTTCGAAGATCTAATGTTAACTCTCGTCACACTTCTATGTATTAAACGTTGGAAAAGAAGAGACAAGAATAGGAGATTTCCGTTGTTGTATATTAAGTATGATTATTTCGCCATCCAGTGCCTGCAGAATCAAACGACGTAAGTGGAAGGAAAGATACATCACTCAGTATTAAATAAACAATCTGCAAACATTAATAGATTAACCATTAGCTAGTTAGCTATACTAATAGACCAACCAATTCAATAATCGTTAGCACGATTCCACCCGCCATCAAAACTACTCCGATGGTAGAAAAATGCGGAATTTTGGTGGATCCTCGTCATAGATTCTAGATGCCTTTTTTTTTCGTATGGAATAAGGATTTGATTGGTAGATAAGCACGTTTTTCTCCAGTTATTATATCAGTGACATTCAAAAGGGCGCTTCTATCGGACTTCGCTGCTCATCCTAGGCCGATGTGTTTAATGCACCGTGGATGCGTTCCTAATAAGTCCTTAACTTTGGAATGTTTTTCCTTGTCAATTTTCTTTTTTGTTTGAAGAGGTGTAGTGATTTCGGGGTCCGATTTATCTATCCAATTTGCTACGAGTCAACATTTGTTAGTGACTACGAGTATGAGTTTGATAAAGGCGGAAAATTGAACATATATACGCAATTAGTTTCAAGAATCAGGACCGGACATAAACTCTCGAGCCTTCGGTCCCGACGCTTAGTGGAGTTAAGAGTGCAGAATAAAGTTTTCTTCTACCAAATTCTCCGACGGGTCGGTCCTGAATTAAGGAGTTAAGGAGAGAGTCGTATATCAGTTATAGTTCACGTCCACCGTCCGCCGTCGGAGCTTGTCAAATTTCTGCTTATCCAGGCGGAGTGCGATTAGCAAATGTTCCAGCTAAGATAAAAAGCAACTTTCCAACGATCAACAATCCCCAGATCTTGGCTGCAAGGAGGAAGGATTTGCATCTAGAAAGTGGAGATTATAGCGAGTGCCAAGTGTGTATTAGCCCGCAAATTAGATGTTGGAAACGTCGAGTTTCGGGGTCTGAAGAACTACCGAGATAATTCTAACACTCCAACAGGATCTAATACTGGTAAGGTCCAAAGCGATATGCATATGGATGGATTCCACACGAATTCAGAATATATTTCGCGTAGGGCAGGGGAATTTACCATATGGGCAATTGTGAGGCTACATTGAGATTCAATGTACTCCATAAATTCCAGTTTGATGATAGTTTTCAGTCCTTGATGTTTAAACTTCTACCAAATCGCTAGTATGGGAATATACAGGTTGAAAGCTTCAGGGCCCACTTCAGCAATATCAACTCCTCCGAAGCAAGGTACCCCGCATGTTCGACGTCTGCACTGCACAAAATGCATTTGTGTATACTCATGCCTCCAAATTGGGTGCCCGTGGAGCCAGAGAATACAGGGTAGGCTACAGTCAAGATTACAATTCTTTCATGAGGTCATAGTCTTGATCTTCCGGCAGCTTGACAAGGTTCGCTTTCTTCCACTCCCCCTTCATGACTGTCGTTATTTCTACGTTGCTTATCAGCAGTGTTCACGGGTTGGGGAGAATCTTTGGGAAATAGATTCCACCAGCCCTGCTTCGATATAGTATTGCCACCTAGAAGTCCACGGATCTGGGGAGGTGCTCCAACATTGAATTGATGATGCACTGCGCGACACACATGACAAAGAGCTAGGAAGTGTCAGTCATCATCCAAACAAGTGACGTTTCTAGATATATTTCGTGTAGGTCAGATGCACGACATTGTCCATGGTTTGGTAATGGAATTTGCCAGCCATGCATGGTTAATTGTTACAACATTTGACATCCTGCCCTGTGAGGAGTCAGTTCTTTCGCCAACCGAATATTCTCGATTCTACCGCACGTTAGATCCCAACTTCTCTGTAATTTAGCTCACCCACTCTATGTTGGATCCCACGAGAAGACGATACATGACTATCTCTATCGGTATTCATCATGGAAATTCGTGCAAATTGATTGTGTTCACAATTTCATAAGCAACGCATTGCACAAAATTTACCAACAAGATAACTCGTATGTCTGGAAAAGCATCTTCTCTCACCATGAAGCATGTCATTCACGAAATAGCCCGATCATTATCAGACGTTCGAAAAGCCCCATATTGTACCCGCCCGACCACTTGTAATAGTACTTTGTCCTTGAGCGGACCATAGTTGGGAAGAGCGCTGGGTGAGTTAATGCGCTAAGACATGAAACTCGGAGTGATATTAGATTTGAATGATCGCAGTGAGATCTGACTCTATTCTCTGGGTATTGCAAGACCTCGAATTTTTACATCGGCTGAGAGAGGAAAGGCCGTTTGAAACGAAGATCCGTTACTGGAGTCCATGGTCGAAGCCAAAAATACTTATCCTACCGTTCTAATTGAGAAAAACCTCGTGAGAAATATGATTGGTGGTACACCGAAAAAAGGGTGAAAGCTTTGGTCCAACATGAGGATACCGAAGATGATGATGGAGGTCCCATCCCATCCCTAGCTGAACTCTCCAAGGACTGATATGATATATCTGGCTATAATCATTCGACAAAGTGCTACACCGATATAGCTGCTCGAAGACTCATTGAAGTAGTTTTCATGAGGCAAATGAAGAAATAGGTAGCTTTTCAGTCCGGAATTCATAATGTACTTGATGCGAACACTTTCTCATTTGTGATTCTGGTTGTTGATTAACGTGATAAAGACCAAAATGAATGTATGTGTAGGGAATTTAATCTCGAGACTTCCGAGAGGAGTGTCACGTGTGATTCAACCACACCGCCTTTTGATTTGGCGAATCAGCCACGCCCCTTCATCTTAAGCGTTCACGAAAACCCTCAAATCTTCTTGCAATTCTCCTATGTCAAAGATGAATACCCGACTTCAACCTTTGGATACATATACGATCCAGCATTGGCAAGTGTAAACTTGTCTGCTGTGCATGATTGTTCTGCAGAATAGGCACAGTGTGAAATGCTCAAGGCGAGAATATTGTAAGTATGCCAGGAGTTTGAAGAGGGGAATCCCAGCTCAATTCAAGGGAGCTCGTACCCTAGAAAATCATGCAAAGATAATTTTAACCTTCAAAACACCAACTCTCTAGGTTGTATTCATGCTGAAGCAGGAACATAAGGCAACCATACCTAAAGTAACCTTATGAGTTTCGAAATCCTTCGATTTCCTAGTCTGAAACAGCTCAAGTCGATTGTTATCAGGCAGGCCCAAACGCTCGACCACCGCCAAGAACATCAAAAATAACCCCTTCGTCCCAACTCCGGAGTGTCATCTCAAGTATGAAACTCGGTTTGTCAGTAACCGTTAACAAGTTAAATGGGACGGATCTATTTTCAATGCCTTTTCGGAATTCCACCTATTGCATTCCAATTCATGTTACTTTAAGGTTTAATTCTTGCTCATTGTTAGCCTAGTGGCTTGAGATCTTATCTGATTAGTGACAAGTGCTCTTCGGATGAGTTTGAAGATATCAGATTTGATCAATTGATCCTAGCAAGATATGTTACTTCAGATGTACTGGACGTCTCATTCCCCGCTATTCTGTACAAAGACGCCTTTATCGTAGGGATTGATGTCATATCCTAGGAGATCAGATGCATTGTGCCTGTCAAAATAACCTTTGGGATCAGAAGAGTAAGCGAAAAAGCGACGGCATCAAGAACTATAAGATCAGCAGATATTTCCTTATTATATTTCTATTTCATTATCATCATCATCACCTTCACCTTCACCTTCACTACACACACTCATTCCAATACTTTCCACAACAGCTGAGCTGTCTATTCAACTGTTAATACATTCATTCATATTACAAAATATATATTACGAGTTTCTTTCACTCACTACTTACTTCATCTATCTATCCTTTATAACACCCAATCAACCAACCAAATAAATCAAAATGCGTTTCTCTCTCCCAGCTCTTGTCCTCTTCCTCTCTGTCGTTAACGCCTCTCCTCTTCCCAAGAACGAAAAGGCCGCTGCGGCATCCTCCTCCGTAATTTCGTCGGCCTCAGCCGCAGCATCCTCCTCCGTAATGTTGTCGGCCTCAGCCGCGGCATCCTCCTCCGTAATGTCGTCGGCCTCAGCCGCGGCGTCCTCGTCCGCGATTGCGTCAGCCACAGGCACAGCCGCGGCATCCTCCTCCGTAATTTCGTCGGCCACCGGCTCCTCAACTGCTGCAGCCACATCGGCAGCGTCCAGCTCAAATTCCACTGCTTCAGCCGGAAGTGTTTTGACCTCTTCGGCATACAATGATTTCCAAATATCCGCGGGAACTGCCGGATCCGCTAAAGATGAAGCCAATGCGCTCTTTACCGGTATCGATATGAACAATCTCGCTGCTGTTTCTGCAGCTGATCTTAAGATCATTCAAGGAGTTCATGATGCTGCTGAGGATGCTGAAGTCGACGGGTTCAATCCAGCCATTGCGGCCGCTACCGGTGATGCTGCTACTGCCCTTCAGGTACATATTCCATTTCATTTTCTGTCAAATATTTATAGCACATAACAGCAACTAACATAAACTCTAGAACGGCAAAATCAAGAACAAGGTTCTCAAACTCACCGCCGAAGTTCTTTCTCTTCAAATCAAGGTAGCTCAAGGAAAAACTGCAGATCCCGCGCCCGAACAGAAAAAGTTGGCCAATAATATTAGATTGGATACTGCGGCTGCAGGACAAGCCAGTACCCCCGTTAGTTTCGATGCTACGAGCTAGAGGATGTGATAAGACGGTCAATTGAGCATTTAGGGATTTGGGATATAGTGGATTTTGTTCGCGTGGACGTGAACTATGGATACTTTAATACAATGTGTCATTTTAGACAGATGTATACAATGGGTTGATTTTCGGTAGATGGTGGTTGGTGGGCGCATAGACATAAAGGGATGATTATTCATTACTATATAGTATAATGATAGTAATCATATTATGAAAATTATTTGCTTATAAAATTTCAACGGCTTGGGAATGGGGGTTGGGAATAGTTTCCTGCTGATCCATACAATGTTATATGACTATTGATCAAATAACATATTTGGGATTGGTCAGATAGACTTTTCGAAATGCAAATAATTTAGCACGTCCCAAATTCACACTTGATAAATGCTGAAGGTATACACTCGACAAATTGAGATGTAATAGTGACAGTCATTTGACCTACGGATGGAAGCCTTTAGTAGGATGATTCTTCCTCGAATCATCTCATTCCGAGGTCTACTCTAGTTTCATCAGAGAACACACTCTACGAGGTATACTAAGCGGGTGATTTCACTATACCATTTTGTATCCATAAAAGGGAACCTTGGTTTGCTAGGTTCAGACGGTAATATTGAACAGAAAGTCAAAAATGCAAGCCACGTTCTAAAGCTCTCGCCAAAAGACCGCAGAAGTCATGGGTGAACTTGGACGGCGTTCCTTCCGCAGAACCATTCAGCCTAATGTAGTGGAAGGATATCATCTCTCGTTGGGGCCGTTTGAATCAATTTTAACTCTTCCCATAAACAAGGAGACACCCCCCACGGCCCCCGCTTCTGCTACATATGTGATCTCAGGAGAGCTAAGAATCATGTTAGTGCATGAAATTTCTCTCAAGACTAGCATACGACTTCTGAAATTTCCATCTTTGGCTATTTTATCCAGCGCACTCGTACTCATACTGCCAAAGACCATGTAACTCCGGACCAGATGCACAATACACAGCCTGACAAACTACAATAGGACTAATTTCCTAGCAGCGGAGTTGCATACTGTCTTGCCGCACGAGTAGCAATCGGGGTTTGATTGCGGGGTAAAATAAAGCAGGGATGCCAACAGCCACCTCAAGGAAGCTAAAGTAGCTAGTGCGAACTTTCGAAGCGTCGATCTAGGTCCACCATACTACTGCACGATTCGGTACATAATGCAATGCATCGGTGTCTGTAAAACGCAGAGTACAACTTTGTAATATGTAATGAGAGGGAGCTTGGCCGCATCAGCAGTTTCTCAACGTAAATTTGCAGCATGTGAAATGCGTTTTTCATATGATAGTGAATTTCTTCTACCTTGCTTGAAGGTGTCATTTTTTCACAGAATCTGCATGTGTACGACCAAAATATTAAACTCGACTTCTGGATAATTCGCCATTTTTAAAATAGACATTTCCCCCTTTTCTTTGCTATCATGACTTTACTTCATGAGGAAAGACAAGTGATTCCAGCTGAACAGAGAATAGTTGTCGAATCAGGTGCAAATCTATTATATTATGTGTAATGCCACAGAAAATCTTCCATCAATTTTTTGATATTTGAATGGTTTTACTTCACGACTTCACCGAGAATTTCTTAATTGCTGTGCACAAAAGTTTTGTTATGGATAAACACATATAACTTTTCTGATCACAAACGTTGTAGATGTATATGGCGATTCATCATTTGCAAATCATGAGGTGATTGTTCCTGAAGCTGCAACACGCATAAATCATGAAAAGACACGCAAAATACCACTAGGAGTGTTGTGGACTCGAAAGTCTGCAGAGGACACACCTTTGGCGAGCCACATCTCTACGATTAAAAAGGGATCACACGTGGCAAGTAAATACACTCCTTATCAACATGGAGGCGAGCAAAGCTGGAATTTCGAAAGATTTGATTTGAGAAAAATGGTCGAGGTCGGGGTGCAGAACCTACCCTCTGATACCCACACGATGGAAATGATGGAGATGACTTCGAATGCAATTGACTCGTTGCGAGAAATTATTCGACAACGGGCCAAGTTAAACAAGCCGCTGAATCAAAGCAACCATGGTAGCAGGGTTTGGGCTCAGCCAGTTACTATTGTCCAAGGCGACGCTATTGGTGTGATGCTTCAGAGACCTGGATGGGAGCTAATAGTGGTCGCAGCACCAAATCCAAAGTTGTCTCTTGTCCTTCTCCAGTTTATGTACAGGTAATGGATGAATTCGGGTTGACAGGCGTTGCCAATTATCCTGTTTTCATGTCAACTTGGTGGATATCTCTACTGATGCACGACTTTGATGATTGGCGCCGGGACTACCTTGCTATTCTAGACTATAATTTCTTTCTCGAACACAACCTAGATCAGGCTACTGGTGCCCAGCTTTTATCACGACTGGAGAAGGATATGGTAGCAATTTGGGATATGCCAAAATTTTCAGACGAGCTCCAAATTCGTAGATTACACATGCTCTGTTCAATGGCCTTCTTTGATCTGAAACGTAGACACGAATCCGACTTTCTCGATCAGGATACAGACGGACGTACTGTTTGGATCCACAAAGATCGAGATATCTGGCGAGATTTCAAAGCTTTAGATTCAGCTGGCTACTCGCATTACTTGCCATATGGCCCTCGAGTTAATGGACGCGATGACATGATGCTGGCTCGTTCAGTCAATGACTGGATTGATCTGGCACCTGACTTGCGCTACCATGAGTGCAATCAATCTATTTTTGTGCTCACTCAAGGATCATTGACAATGTATGACCTGACAAAATGTTATGAACGAACGGTATGGATGTTGAACGCAAGTTTTGACTCAGAAGAGCGACGTGTGGGGTGCAATGGCATTGTCGGAACCTGCGTATGGCAGCTCGGTAACCATCGCCATGATTTGTGGTGCTACTACTCCCTGGCTTATGGTGACTGCTCAGTTGCGCAGCAATTGGATCTTTACAAAATTGCAAACCTCGCAGATTGCTATGCTTCGGATTTCACGCCGAGGACATTGTCTGACGCCAAGATGATATCCATTCCGCGTCAAGAATATTCATATCACGTTCGGGTGGATAACCTCGATCATAAAGGTTCAACTATGCTCCACACAACAGTCTGCGATGCCGTCAAAGCTAAACTAATTCCAGCAACTGCCATCGATTACCAGATTGTTCTTCCACTCCTTCTACGCACGGGACGAATGAACGAAGCCACTTTCCTGGGCTATATGGATCATCACGATTGTAATCACTTTGCTAATATCATGCGATCTGGACATGCTGATGGATTTAGCCATGAGTATGCACATGCCATTGCAGCGTTGGTCATGGAAGGATGGTGGTCGGGAATTTAATTGGCTATTGACATTGGGAGTCTGATTGAGGCTCAACCTGACCACATTGCAAATGATCGCCCGCATTAATTCGTTCTGTCTAGAAATGATTCGGGCTACACAGTATGTATGCAGGAGATGCTTTAGTTTTGAATCACAAATTTCTATTCGTTGTGGATGTGTTAACTTAAACCGCAGGTCTCTAGAAGTCATCGAAAGTCTGTTCAAAATCGTATCAGTGTCATGGGCAAAATCTGATTTCAAACTATTTCAGTTCCATTCTTCAATTTGGCCATACTGAGTGTACGAAATATATGCTAGTCGAGCTAATATACTTTCGCTGTTTTCAGGTTGTTTCCAGCCCAGCTTCTTCATCGAATTCCAGTTATGCCAAACATACCACTAGTTATCGGCCCATTTATCACGCTTAACAAGCACTTTAACAGTCGATTTATTAACCGCGTTTGCATAATCTGCCCACTCCATACTTCTAGCATCTGTCTCATAAAGCATCATTTCGAACCGGGAAAAGAAATACGCAACTACTATATATATTTCTTCATTCGCAAGGCTGAAGGTTCATTTAGCAAGCTGATCGACTCGGTCATTTTGGAAGAAAAAGGTTACTTACTTCATACCAAGACATGCTCTTGAACCTTTGCTAAACGGAGCAAAATACTTTTCTAATGCTTTCTCTTCGTCCCTAAGCCATCGTTCGGGGTCGAATTTTTCGGGTGAAGGAAAGATAGATGCGTTGTAATGGAGTGAATAAGTGGTTTGTGAGATGCTTGTCTATACGTATTTCGCGCACATTAGTAGTGATCCCTCTCCGGCTACCAGGAAGAGTGTATACATACACCGGCGGGTATGAAATGTCCATCTACAACTACTCCTCCATCAGGTACAATACGCGGAAGAGCACCTGGCACAATAGTGTAAACCCGCATGCTTTCCTTGACTACTGCCGTCTGTTGAACATTTTAGTAAAACTCCTTCACCAAAATTTTCATCTAAAGTATTTTCGCGTAGATACGAACGAATAACCTACTAGATATGGCAATCTCTGAACCACCTTGCAATCAAAAGTTTCATGCGATGTGATGCCGCAAGCATTCAGTTCGTCTAGTAATTTAGAAGAAACAGATGGTGAAGAGAGAATGTAGTATAAAGCATTTGCAATCGTACTTCCTGTGGTGTCAGTCCCTGCGAATACGAATAAGAAGGCCTCATCCACCAAGTCCGGTATCGAAAATTCGGAACGCGGTTCTTCGGGAGTTGGAGCAAGAAGAAGATCGAACACGGTATTTGATGACGAGTCATTTTTGGTGAATCCGCGGGAATGTTGTCGAGCAACAGCCATTGTGGCCCATTTTTCACATTTCTAACCAAATATGTGGTAAGTATGAATAGAAATGAAAAACGCTGCATAGGAAATAAAGGAATCATAGAGAAAGTAGAGTGCATTTACATGTCTAATACTTTTCAATCCGGGAACTGTCTTCTGGGCTAGCGACTGAGGTAGGTTTGTTGCCAACCACCCAACAGCGGGGAATGCCTTCACTACAACGATAAAATTAAGGTTAGAGAAAAATGATCAAGAGACACAAAGACTAACGTGAGCAAGCTAATAAATGGGTGGTAAATCTTACTAATCCAAAAATTCTTCAAGAAGGCATCCATACTTGCCAACAATTCCGGATGCTCTTCCTGTGAGTCTAGGAGATCTTGAGGTTCGTCAAAAAGTATTTTAAATAATACTTCCGACTGTTACTCATGACTTAGCATGTCAATTCTTGTGAGAAAAGGGGGAGATGATCTTGAATGATATCAGTGACTAACAGAAATAGAGCGACAGAGTCGATGCATATCAATAGGTCTTTTCTCTTCTCCACGCTTCATCATGATGTTGGCTGCTTTCTGAGCGATTGCGAGGATATCTGGTGCCATTGAATCCGCAGCCTTTGTCGAGAATAAAGGGCTGACTTTTTGTCGTCGTAGACGATGTTCGTGTGGGTCTAGTATGGAAAGAAGAGACTCCGACATGTTTATCTGCTTATAAAAGCCTGGGTCCTTTCGATAAATCGTTCGGTAGTTGAACATTCTATCATAGCTCAATATCTACACTTAAAACTCGTTTACCTCAGGTGCTTACTTTGAATAGAAATCCGGATCATTGACATGGACATGATTGGGAGCAATTCGGATGACCGCAGAATCTGAAAGATGCCATTTAGCCAGATAGGAGCCTTGAGTAGAAAAGAAAACTGACTGTAGTCCGTATGCATTTGCTCAAAACTCCTGCTATATATTCCATCTCGAATGGCGTTATAATAAAATTCATACCAAGAAGTTGCGGCAGCTAGCCTTGGTCCTGGGATTTTGGACAGCGGATGGAAGTATAGACGCTTAAAGGCACAGCCTAGAGAAGTCAAAATCACGGCGATTGTAATTATTTGTAAGAGCAGAGGGATTTGCGATGGAATCAAATAAGTCGAGCGGGAATCTTTAGAAGTATCCATGCTTTAAAGTGGTGCGAATGGTAAAGAAAACAAAGTAGCTCTGTTCGAACAGGAGAGAATCAATACAGGCTTGATAAAGATATGAATCAAATATTCGAATCCGATCGTGGGGGGACGAGATACTTATCGGTCCACCATACCGACATGTTACGTTGTATCACGTTGAAGATTCGCATATCTTTCAGAGTCAGTGCAAGATTGTTCAGCTATTCGAGTGCGGTTGGCGAGCGTCATGCCACGACATACCATGCGGGTAACATTTAATTTAGCTTTTAGGCTCATCTCGAAATCCCCATTAATGTCTTTAATCCTAGCACTATCCAGTAACAAATCCAGTTTCTCGATCAAGGCAGATTGAAATCATAAGCGAAAAATGAAGGGGCAGCATGAACGACCCCGCCTCGTGTCCAGATCCAGAATGATCTGCTCCCCATAACAACCACTTATTTTTCATCAACCGAGGAGATTTTTTGATAGGATATTTGCCTGGGAGCGTTGCAATCAATAGACCGAGAAAGAGACGCTATATGCATTCATGAGTTGATACTATAAAGTTGCACCTTCCACATTTAATCTTCTTTGCATGCCAAGGAAGTGGGGTAGATGCCCACACCATTTTCGAAGTAGAACACATTCCCGTCTTATTCCACAGTTCAAACTATCGAACATCTCTCTCCAATCCCATCTCCTTATGTTTCTTCACTCATTTCAAAATCACCGCTCCTTGTATATAAATGCTTTGTTTGGTGACATGATAAAGTGAGTGGCTTCATTTTCTATGGAAAGTAGAAAGGTACTATGTTCGGTGACACACAACTTGAGCTGTATCTTGGGTCTATGTTTGCTTGTCTCTATGAATTTTCATCGATGAATGAGGTACTCTTCTTTCAATAGGCCAAGAACGACATTCATTGTTCGATATCATGCGGCTATCATATACTTGATATGCATTGCACTTCTGAATCTCTGAAATCACTTACTGATCTCCCTCAGCGTCAACCCATCCCATTTTCTCATACTTCTTTATTCTTCTAATTATCTCCTCGACATCCTTCCAAATCCTCTTTCTGTTTTGCAAACCTTTCAACCTTCCGTCCTTGAATCCTTTTGTAATTCCTAAATACAATTGATACCAATCCAATTTCTTAGTATCAATTCCATCCTCAAACCCCGTCTTCAACGCTCCCTCAATACTCTCATCAAACACAGGCTCGGCAGCTTTCCATTCATCATAAAATTCACGCATTTCTTCCCGGATAATCGAACGCAATGCCACTAATTGCTCATTATGCTCTTGTCGCCTTTTCTCACGAGACTCGAGGTCCGCCTCAGAAGCTGTAGCCCAGAAAGATGGAGGCGTGGGATCGTATATTTCCCAAAACCAAGGCATTTCGGAAATAACAAGCTGATAGAAGAAACCCTGAGAGATTTGAGTAAAAGCCTTAGATACGAGCCGAATGCAGGCAACATCTTTGGATGGAAGATATGATATTATCTCATCTTGAAGTTCTTGCGACAACTTCAGGAATGGATCGTGAAAATCATTACTCGGGGATCGTTGGGGTCCAGGTTTCGAAGGACGAATAGGGAAGGCTGGCGAGCTGAGCGAGAAATGTGGATTTGTAGATATTGCTGATTGAAATATAGAGGGTAAGGCTGGTATGAAAACAGGGTTTGCGGCGAGCCATTCTGTGTCGAGACTATGGTTCCACCATTGTTCACTGCATTGCGTTACAGCGCGGTCGCGAGGGAATTCACAGTAATATTTGTAGCAGGACTCCCTATCGCGCCACTTCATTAGATCTTGTATAGAAGTCTGATTGAAATTAAGCCGTGATGCATGTTTATAGACCTCGAGACAAGTTGGATGGAATGGCATCGCCACTTCCCGTGTATTTGGAGGTATCTGTACATCACGAGGTCAGTCTTCAAACTCTATGTTACTAAGATAATGGTGTATGAACAAAACATTCAAAATTCCGGACTGCAGTCTGGCGATGAGGATATGTCTAATTTTTTGAATTGATGAAAACATCCCCTTTGCTTGAGGCCATGAAGAATTGAAAAGACTTACTTGCCAAATCACTGTGTCTGCTTCTACCTCGTTGGCGAGTCCATGACGGGCCGGCGTTAATCTCACGTCACTAATGTCCCGTGAAGGTACATGATCACCCAGACCGGAGAGAAAGACATCACCCTCGAGTTCGAAACCTTCATCATCATGGCTAGGGCTCCAATTAGGACCTTTGTAAACGAGACATTGTGCCGTGGTACACCCTCTCATTTCTTGAGCAGTGATGAAATTACCATTGTATGCTTTGCTGGCTGAGCATTTGGGACCTGGTAGATGTGTAAATTTATTTTCCCACAGCCCACTTTGTGCTTCTTCATCAGTCATCATGATCTTCTCGACTTTTGGAGGATTTAGCAACTTGTGTTGATCGAATCCTGATAACCATTCGTGATAGAGCTTTGTTTCCTCATCTGAGTCGAAACTACAATCACCGTCGTAGTTATCGATTTCCAGTATACTTCCCGTTTGGGTGTCTCTGCGATCTTCCAGCGTTGAAGATTCTTCAGAAGCATGGTCATTGAAGGAACTCTCGTCCGCGTTTGAATCATACTCCAAAGGCTCATCATCCGATACACTTTCATAGGAATACGACAAACTATCGTCCTCAGCCAGGGGCCTATTGTCTTTGTAGAAAGGTAAATTGTTTTGCCTATTGAGCTCCCCATTTTGTTCTGGAATCAATGCTGTACGATAGAAGAAACATCCATATTCGGTACCGCAATTTTCACCCCCCGGCTCAAACCCCCCCTCCGGATTAGACCAAGAAGCACTTTCGTCATCAATTTCATCTGCAGTCCGATCTCGTCCTATATTAAAGCTAACGCCACAGATTTGACAAGGAATCTCTGAGTAACCTGAAGACACTACGGTTAATAGTTTGGAAGTAGTATGCGTAGACAGGTCTAGTCAAACTTACCCATCTTGAATGTAGGAATTAAGTGAAAATCGAGACAATTCTCAATGTGCGACAATCTACTGACGGAATCTCTGAATCGAGAAAGTAAGAAAGAGCGAGTAATAAGAAACCTGGATACTTAGAGCTTGCTAATAAGCTTATTTAAATAAGTTTTGGCGACCCCGGAATCCGGGTCGATTCAAGATCCACTCCAGGCTACTTGTGGGGATCTTTAGGCAGAGTATCCACGAGACTCTAGGGCCTCAAACACCATTTTCCTAATTTGTGATAGTGAATGATTCTACTTGTCAGTACCAGACATAGCTGCACTGCCTGTAAACCAACTTAGGAAAACGTTGGTGATAGAAGAAGGTACTAGCCTGAATAGGTATATAATGTATTATAAATACGACGCCAGAGCCCTAAGGGGTATGACTGGTCCAATGGTAACCATGTCCATTCTTATAAAATCCATTTTTCTGTGATTATTGGTCTCGACCCACTGCTTCTTAGATGTGCAATCTCACAATTTGGAATTCCTCCTACAGACTGATGGCTACTGGATAAGATGGTGTCATCTCGAGGTCTACTTCCTGGCAGCTTCATCTCGATTCTAATTTTCACTTATTCGCAGCCTCGATATGCCACGATGAGATGCTGTTGCATTTCTAGAATTCTGAAACCAGTATTGTCTACTCGAGCCAAATGCATTCATTGACTTACAATCTGTTGGAGGTAAGTTCTAAAATATAATAATAATATTAATATTCTAATAATAATAGAAGACTTAATCATTTTAATTTAAGGAACAAATCGAATATAATATAAAAGTTGAATTAAAAACAAATTATAAGAAAAAGCTTAATTGAGCTGAATTTGCTTACTTTTTTCTAGGTTTTCTTTAAAGAATATCCTAAGTTTATATAGTTTATAATGAAATTCTAGTAGTTTCTATACTTATAAATAAGATCGATTTAAATCGAATCTTACAGAATCATTTTATATCATAAAAGAAAAATACAACCAATCAATTTAGTTAATTTATTAACAATCTTCTATATGATTCTATCTCATTCTATTTCATTATAAATCAATTTGATAAGAGATATAACTATATTATAATATAATAATATAATTTTATAATATAAAATCATATTATACTTATATTATTAATACATATATAGCTTGATTAGTAAGATATTAATAAGTGATTTAGTATACTTATTATAGAATCTCACACAATCGAAAGTACTAAAAAGGTGAACTAATCTTCCAGTCTTCTCAACGCACCCTAATTCTAATCCCTCCCACAATCAACCCACCACCAATCTTCCCCTCCTCAATCCCCAGTACCACGTCCCAAGCACAACTCCCACATTCAAGAAATCAAAAACTAGCGCTCCCCCAAAGATGATCCCATCATAAATCCACGCATTCTCGCTCGTCATATGAATTCTACTTACCGCAATTGCCCAAGGTAACATCCATAATAAATTACTTCCCAGACTTTGTACAAAATAGAGCTTCGGCACAGTAGCCAGGAGAATAGCGGCAAGTTGCGTAGTGACGGCGTAGAAGATATAACACCAATCGATAGTCCTCCACATGTGTTCTGTGATTTTTGCTACGGCTGCGGATTTGGAGAGGTAGAAAGAAAATTTACGGATACCCCAGAGTGAGAGGAAGATGCAGAATAGACTTTCGATGATAAAGGCAATGACACTAGATATTAGAGCGAAGTGAACAATTTCTGGGACTGTCAGTGTTCCTCCTCTTGTTTTATCCAATAGCTAAAACTGGAGACTTACTTAGAACATCCGCCCTCTCAGCCCTCGGCTTCCTGGTCTCAATCCCAACACCCTTTCTCCAAGCTCCCCACGCATGACCCACAAACGTCGACGTAGATGCCTGCAATGCGTTCACAGGAACCATAACAATACCCCATCGGATATTATTGAATACTCCCCATGCAGTAGCATAATCAAGACCCATAGATACGATACCATGGATGAGCCATAGATAGATCGCATTGCGGAGAGCGGATTCGAGGAATGTCCATTTTCCTGGTTTGAAGAGTGTTTTGAGTGCTAAGAATGTGATTTTAGGTTCTGGTTCGGCTGCGCTATCAGACTCGGATGGCGATGGCGACCGCGATGGAGACGCCGACAAAGATGCGGATTCGCGTATAATGGGAGGCGAAAAAGTGGACCGTTGCATCTTCAAAGCAAGATAAATAAAATAAAGTAAGCCACATCCTGCAGAAGCAAGATCACATGCCATTCTAATCAACGCCTGTGTATTAACAGTCGGTGTGAAAGAGCCTATATGGAACTTTGAAATGATAAGCAAGTCCAACAAAATATTCACCGCAAATTGTACAGAACTGATCAACAGCGGTACATCTGGGTGATCCAACGCTCGTGTTGAATTGGCAACCGCAGTGCTCATTGCACTGGATAGTGCCTGTACCGATGAAATTCTCACATATGTAAGACTAGCCTTTCTTACAATCTCAGGTACGAAAGCCGCGGCAAGATGTTCAGCACTTGCGAGAAAAATTATCATGAGTAGAGTACCGAATAGGATTTGAACGCAAATCAGGGTGTAGGTAAGTGTTAATCGTGAACGAAGACTCCGATTTGATTCATCAGCTATGATGACCCAGACGGCTCGAGGGAGCCCTTCGTTGAGTACCTCTACAATTACACCGATATAGGTGTATACATCTGTGGTTACAACCTGGGTAGAGTCGATGTTGGCTACCCATAGTTTGCTAAGGGTAGAGTAAAGAGCTGGGAGGATGAAGGCTCCTGTGTTGAAGAGAAGTGAGCCGGGGTATCTGTGGGATATTAGTACCACTGGGCGAGACAAGAAATGATAGACTCAGCTCACGTTTCCCGGTCAAAAGTTCTTCTCCATTGAGAAAGAAACTCCATGATGTATCTCCATTTACTATCGGAACTCGTGACGCTTTCTTCTTCTTGTACCACCTCCTCGGGTTCTTCGTCCACTCTCCCTACCGCCGCATTTAACCTATCATCTTTCGTCGGTATCATTCTGTATCTAATTTTGGAAGATGAAGAAGACGAACTCATGTTGAGCAACGTGAACTAGTAACCATCTTTATCACTGCCATTTTAAAGGACAGAAATGAGGGGAAATCTGCAAATGACCCATTGTAGAAGAAGCATCGTGATGCTACTCTTGATTGTGGCTTTATGCATGGGAATTCTGGAAAGATTGACAAACCAATAAAACTTTTTGGAATGGATTGTGGTGGTGTTTTCATTTGTGGTGTTTCTACTTTACGATTCTGCACTTGCGGTTTGCTAAGATCTTTGGGTGATTCTGGACAATCATATTCAGATACACAATCAAAACGTTACATCGAGGACTGTCAAGCATTTTGGGGACAGAACACGAAACTTCTGTATTTGTCCAGATGATATCGCGATTTGATTCTTTATCTGCGATGTGAGTTGTTATAAGGAAAGTTCCTCTGAATAAAGAATGCCATGACATACGCACTAGAATATGTATCATTCTCTGTTTGACAAATCTGGTGATATCTACTAGTATCATCACTATTCATCTCGAGGAAAACAGATGACAATGGATTGAATAAGTATTATTCAACCACAGACGAAGTGTGAGGCATTATATCCTCGAAGACCCCACCATCGATAGAACAGAGTCCGAACTCCCTCCAGCCCTCCGAAATATGTACACAGGTGCGTCGTGCTGCCACACAACCCAGGCCTCTTCCAAAGGGCGAAAGGGCGTATTTCTTCAATTTTTGGGATTTTGAAAATGCTGACTAAGAAAAACTTGTTCAAAAAAAAAAAGTGCTAAGAATTTTCGAGTGAAAAACAGGGCTTACATCTACCTCTCCCAAAAGTTCTCTTAATGCTTTTCAAAAGACCTCTCCTCACACTTCGGAAGAGGCAGTATTGCGGCCAATGAAAATCCGCTTACCGTCAGGGGTTTAATTGCGGGGCCCACCCACTAATAACTTCTTTAGCAACTAATCTTATTTAGTTTTATCGCTGCCATAAGATCTAAAAGCTCCGACGCTTCATTCTTCAGGCATCTCCTATCGTCTTACCTGCCAGATCTTGTATCGCCGACGACTATCAAAATTTTAGCTCATGATTAATTATTATAATGTATTTCATCACAAACTATAACGTGTTTTGTCACCGAGTAGATTATATTACCAAGTGGATCACTTTCACCTCAATTCTTGATCTTTTACTTCAATATACATTTTATTAATCAATTGAAATATAATTGAATAATAAAGAAGCTTGAATACTTTTAGTTATTGAAGTTATTTAAAAAAATAAAAAACTTAATATTTGAAAAGCTATTAAGCTATATAATTTATTATATATAATACTCAATTATAAAATGAATAATTTTATTCCCTATATTAAAACTTAAGTGAATTATTATAATTTTACAGAATTAAAAGAGAAAATAATTATTCAATATATACTTGATATAGATTTAAAAGGATTTTCATTTAAATTTAGAATAATAAAAGATATAGCAAATCATATTCTTGAATCGAAAGGTATAAAGTGTATTGGAAAGCTTTGGATATATCGATTTGTAAAGCATTGAATTGAATTAAAAATATGTTTTAGTTATGTTTATAACTTTTAAAGGGCTTTTTATAAAAATCCTAAGCTTATTAAGAAGTGATTTCGATTAATTTCGAATATACAAATGAAATATAATATTCTTAATTGTGATTTCTATAACTTCAACGAAATAAGCTTTATAATAAATATAATATATCCCAAAATAATAGTAACTAATACTAAACGAAATAGAAGAAGTAAGGCAATATAATTAAACAATAGTGTTACGAGAGCTGTCTCTAGGGTCACGTGGAAGTGTCTAGAGATCTCTCGAGATGGTTTAGACTAGACTTTAAATAGGAATTCAATAAGGTTATAATTATTACAATTCTTGTAACTATAATAATGAAACTAATAATTGTTCTTAAACACAAAGCTCTATATTATAATAAAACCTATTCCCTTATATAGACCTTTGTACCTTATGAATCAATAAGTCGATTACTATAAAGCCGATTTCGACAAGTCGATTTCCTGATTATGTGATGTTCATTTTGTAACTAATAATAATGCTACTGCTTATCTAATCTATACTTTCTAGCCGATTGTTCCTACAGCGCTGTTTTCGTTATAATCCATGTTGTGGTGCGGGTACCTCCGTAACAAATAGGGAATGAGCTATAGCGATTATATATGATAATAAGGAGAGTGAAACTATATTCTCATTTCTAATGATTTAAGGATAGGTTTATCTTTTTAATTAGTATATTGAAATCGATTTTCTTATAAATTAGATTATTAAATCTACATTTAATGAATGAATAAATAATAAGACGAGGTTAGAATGATTGAAATATTTCAATAAGTATATTAAGAATTGAAAAAAGGACAAATATCGAATATTGGTATTAAATAAGTATAAAAGTTATAAATTAAGAGCTTTTCAAGTATACTACAAAAAGAATAATATTAAATATATATATTTATTATTATATTCAAGTTATTTAATTCAATCACTTAATATGGGCTGTTTTAGCAACCTGAAATATTTATATGATACTCAAATTGATAAATTCATTAAGGTATATATCAATTATATTTCGAAAGTTGAATTCTTTATAGCTTTCAAAGTTGTATATAAAGAATCAATTATCTTTTAGAATATGAAATCAAAATTTCAAAGAATAGATTTAATCCTATTTAATTCTGAAGCTATACTCTCGAAATTAGATATTCGAATTCGTATATCTACCCCTTCTTTTTTCAATCTAAATTAATAAATCTTTCAAACTCTTTATAATCTAATTAAAGCTCTTTTTCAATCAACATTAGTTAAATCTCGAATAACTTATTATTAATCAAGCTCTTCTATATTTATATTTGAAATTATATTAGCTTTAATTAAAAATATAAAGAGATTAGCTTATAAGAATATATTTTTAAATATAAAGATTTATATATTTCGAATAGTAAATAAAGTATTAAGTAAATATCGATATATAAAAAAAACTTAATTATATTAAGGAGGAATGCTTATTGAATAAAAGGCTTTTGATATATTATTTTAGTAAGAGGTTGATGTTCAGATTCAATATGATGAGTATTAAAATAAGGGAAATTTTATTGAAGAAGTATTTTCTAATAGGTGTTATAATAAGTATAGAAAATCAGGTTATAATTCAAGAACTTGTTAAAACAATATAATAAATCCTAAATTATTAGATTCTTAATAATTTTAATTAATTAATTCAATTATTGTTGAATAATATAAGTTTAAAGTGGTAAATTGAGGTGAAAGTGATTCATTCGGTGATATGATCCACTCGGTGATAAAACACGTTATGCAAAATGCATCTAATCCCCGCATCGGCTTTAAGGCGGGGTAGCTGTTTTCTTTATCTTTCCTGTGGTGTCTACCCACATTCATAAAAACACATACATCATCTATCATTCTTTCCGTCCTCCTTCCGAAGTAATAAATACATCGAAGCTTCTCCCTTTCTCTTGTTTCTACAAGCAAAAAAAAAAATCTACTCATCCAATTCATGAACACCATAACCACCCTCCCAACCACTCTAAAAAGCAAAGCTCAAGCTCTCATCTCCACAATGTCCCTCCCCAAAACCTACAAAGCTGCTCTTTTCGAAAAAGCCGATAGTCCACTCGTTATCAAAGACATTGAGCTCAGGCAACCATCCGTAAATGAGGTTCTCGTGAAAGTCATTGCATGTGGAGTATGTCACTCCGATGCCGTCGTCCAATCTGGCGGGTTTGGAAACGGGTTTCCGATTATCCCCGGCCATGAGATAATTGGTACCGTTGCTGCTGTCGGAGAAGGTGTGCAGAAGTGGAAGGTTGGAGAGAGAGTAGGAGGTCCTTGGCATGGAGGTCATGATGGCACTTGTAAACAGTGTAATCGAGGACAATTGTATGTTTTCCCTCTCACTCTTCTCACTCCTTTCTGCAACATAATTTGTGAGTTACTAACGATCTGATTCCGCAGCCAAATGTGTTCCAATGGTGCCATCAATGGTGTCACTCGTGACGGGGGATTCGCCGAATATGTTCACCTTCGAAGCGAAGCCGTAGTCAGAGTTCCAGAAGATGTCGATCCTTATGAATATGCACCAGTTCTCTGCGCCGGTATCACCGTCTTCAACAGTATGAGAAAATTACAAATTACACCTGGTGAAGTTGTTGCTATTCAAGGATTGGGTGGATTGGGACATTTGGCTGTACAGTATGCAGCTAAGATGGGATTCAAGGTTGTAGCTATCAGTGGAGGTGACAAGAAGAGAGAGTTTGCTCACAAGCTGGGTGCTCATGAGTACATTGACGCATCGAAGGATGACCCCGTTAAGAAGTTGACCGAAATGGGAGGAGCAGCCCTAATTGTTTGCACGGCTCCAAACCCAAAATCTATTTCTCCTTTGACTGGTGGATTGGGTGCGGGTGGAAAGTTGCTCATTTTGGCTCCTTGTGGTGGTGTGGAGATCAACTCGGTGGATCTCATCATGAAGATGGCTTCTGTCTGCGGTTTCCCATCTGGCCATGCGTTGGATAGTGAGGAGGCTATTGAGTTCACCAAGTTGCATAATGTTCGTTGCATGATTGAGAAATTCCCATTGAAGGATGCTCAAAAGGCTTATGATCACATGTTAAGTGGTGATGTTAGGTTCAGAAGTGTTTTGGTCATGGATCAATAATTTTTTACGCGAAACGAAGAAATGAATAATGGACTGGAAATTTCTTATGGCGGTCCGTCGCTTTATACTCAAAAATGCAAAAGCTAATGGAACGAGATTGAGTGAGGTAGTTATCAAGGTATCAATAATATATTATCAATATTCGAAAAGAAAATTTACCTTTGCTTTGCTTGAAAATAGTCGTGAATATCTCGGTTTCTGCCTCGGATATCTGACTGATTAGTGATCATGTTAGTGAAAGATAAATTGCTGTAGTAAGATAGCCTCATATTGACCTTCTGAATGGGGAAGTTTTAAGACTTGGCGAGCCTGAAATTGATTTCACAAGTCATGGATCTCTTTTCGAATGTCAAATGAGGGAAACCAATCACCCTGTTCGTACTTCTTCCAGGAAGTTCTTGAAACATATTCATTTTATGTACCTGGGGTATTATATGTATTTTTTAGTGGGCAAAAAGGATATCGATCTTACATCCAATTCGAGTTAACCATCGCGATTTATACTTTCAGATATGCAACAAAAGTCCATAGTGAGTTGTAAGTATCCAATCAGTTGGAGTACAAATCGACTAGAGCGATCTTGATTTCTCAGACATGCAACAAAATGGTCTGATGAACCATTGAAATAGCTGGGAATGTAATATGTATAGATAGATGCGAAAGTATATCCTTTAGTCTGGAATAGGAGGAGCATTTACTACCACCCGCAGGATCAAGCACCCAATCAGATAGGCTGGACGATATCCTATCTGCGATGTAGCCTACCTCGTAGGGGAGAAAGATAATCTCACAAGATTTGTTGAGACTCGCGAGCGAATAGCATCTGAATCGCACCTTGAGCGTGTGTTGAAGTCAATCAATTAAACTTTGTGTAACCATTCGCCTGCTGCCTGCCCTATCCTGGCTGATGTGCTTACACCCAATCATTCACTGCCAGCAGTTCATCAATAAATCCCTTTAAAACCTTGAATCAAATTCGATTATGATTATCATAATCCAAGCATTTAATTCTGCTATTCATGTATCCATTGGTTGTATAATACAGGAATTGAGTGATCGCTGACGTCGCACAATTGACGTCATTCTGCGCACCCCCTGTTTCCTCGAGGGAAACTTGGCAAGAAGCGAAATTCTTGTGATGATGGGGAGGAGGATTGAAGGGGAGAAAGGAGATAAGTATCACGAAACTGCTCGTATTTTCATAGAGATTTCTCATTACTGAATAATCAAAGATAATATACACTACAAGCTTTCGCCAAAGTCATATACTCCAAATAATCATTTGCATCCTTGAACAAATCTCAAACCTCAAAACAATCTATACCAACCATCAACATGCCTCTTTTCGGTCGCCATCAAGAAGAATATGAGCCAGAGCTAGTGGTAGAAGAGCCCAAGCGAAGCTCATCCATCTTCCACCGTAACCGTGCCGAGTCTATCTCACAATCAGAACGTTCCATGTCCACTGTCTCCTCTACTCCATCTCACAGTAGTCGCAATCGCGGATTCTTACACAAGAACCGAGAAGTTCAAGACCCAGTTATCGCAGCTGCAGAGCAAAGAATCATCAATGCCGAACAAATGGAGAGAGAAGCCGACCGAGCATTGATTAATGCTAGAGAGGCGGTGGCAGAAGCAAGAGAACACATGAGACAACTCAAGTTGGAGATGGAAGCACAGTAAGTCATTCAAACTTTGAAGACGACAAATTTACAAGATACTAATCTATTGTGTAGAGCAAAAGCATTGAAGGTTCGACAAGGACAAGCGAACAACATCTACAAGAGAGCCAAACCTCTTGGTCGTAAGTGACTAGCTTGATACCATTCATTTTTAGAATCTCATCGCTGACAGTAGTCATTAGGCCATCAGGTCCCAGGCTTGTAAAGAGTATCATATTCAATGTGATACTTATCACGATTCGAGGTATCTTCTTCGAGATAATCTGTATGAATATTTAGCGGGACCGGTGTTGGGAGGATGATTGTTTTTCCAGCGTGGAGTTGACGGAAGCGAGTGAGACTTTTGATAATATGGTTGGGATGGAAGCAACCAATCAATGTACTATTATTATGATCATGATGGGAACGAATACCATTGATACCAATTTTCTTGAGACATGACGATAATGAATATCTGATTGATGATGTCTTGGTAAATAGTCCATCGTGTTGGCCTCGTGTGTATGTGCCATCTTTTCTTCATGAACATCGTGATTGTGATCAGGAGCACGCCCGCCAATATCAAGTGGGAAGATATATTTTCGTAGGTTTCGCAAAACATGATGCTATTCCCAAAAATAGGTGATGTTGTGATGGGTGAGAATGACAAACTTGCAGCATTGGATTGGATTGGATTGGATTGGATTGGAGAAAGAGAAAGAGAAAGAGAAACTTCTCGGAAAGGCACATGATCACATGATCACATGACATGACCCCGCGCCTCCGCCTTTTGTTTTTTTGGAAACAACTTAGATCTCAAATCAGGTAAGACTCACCTTGGCACTCTTCCTAAGATCACCGGAGACCAGGAACACGGGGACTCCCACAACCCTCCCAAAGCTTCATTTCTGAATCATAATCTGCTCCCGTTCCTTTCCTTTCCTTTCCTTTCCTCCTTCTCTTTCCTTTGTGACCTCGTGGACAATTTCATTGTCATTTTCCTCTTTTTTGCTCGAATGTATATGTCTTCGTCTCCCAAGGTTATTTGAATAGAAGGATAAGAAGGCCTTTTTGGTTGGAATAGTTGCTTTCCTTTCGTCTCAACCGCATTTCGTACATATTACTGTTACTCTCTGATCAGCAGTGAGGAGAAGCCTCAATCATGATTTCGTTCTCAATACATATCAATTCACGACCGCGGATATCTTTACTTCTGCTGTGTTTGTTCTGCGCATTATCTTTCTCAAGTGGCGTATATGGGAGGTCAAACGATGTTAGACGACCGAATGATTGGATTCAACGACCACTTACGAATAATGAAGATATCACGATCAATGGGAGCCCTCAAAAGCCCATGCAGCCCGAAGACCCAAATGTCCTACCGGCAATGTTGAGCGCGCTGGACGTGCTACAAGGAGACTACTTTGCGACATGGCAAGGCATTTATCCAACAGGAATTGATTGGACATCTGCAGTGATTGGTATAATACTCTGTTTCCACGTTGAAATATTATAGAGCAAGAACTAACAATACCTTCTAAACAGGCACTTATGTTGCTGGCGCACTCACCACTATCACCAAGTCCTTTTCTGAACTTTCCTCATCGAGGACGAACGAGAACATTATCAATAAATACTTTACTGAAGTCATTGGGTTTTATTTTGGCCAGGATGCTTTCTCTCTACGACAGCAAGCCTATGATGATATGTTATGGGTAGTTCTTGGTTGGTTGGATACCGTCAAATTCATTGATTTGCATTCTAAATTACACTATTCGAACGACTCTCAACCAGAGTGGTACGGACAACAATATAAATCTGCATTTGCACACCGAGCGCGACTATTTTGGGAATTGGCATCACAAGGATGGGATACCACTCTCTGTGGAGGTGGGATGATATGGTCTCCATACCTTACTCCGTACAAGAATGCAATCACCAATGAGCTCTACATCGCAGCTTCGATATCGATGTATCTATATTTCCCTGGAGATGACAATCAATCCCCATTTATTCTTTCCAACCCTACATATCCACCTCGCGATCCGAAATATCTACAGGCCGCTGTTGATGCTTACAGATGGCTGAATGGTTCAAATATGACGGATTTGCAAGGGTTATATGTCGACGGATATCACATCTCGAATCTTTCTGGCGGTGACAATGCCCATTGCGATTCTAGAAATGAGATGGTATATACCTACAATCAGGGTGTTTTGCTTACTGGACAACGCGGTTTGTATGACGCGACCGCGGCACGATCATACCTTGTGGATGGCCATAAACTCATCGCGAATGTTATTAATGCCACAGGCTACGATCTGAAAGATAATGTTGCCATCTCACCGCCACCTAAAGATGGCTCTGCATTGGCAAAATGGTTTGGTCTTGGTAGGAATGGAATATTAGAAGAAGCTTGCGATTCGAGTGCTTCGTGTTCTCAAAATGGACAAACTTTCAAAGGCATATTCTTTCATCATTTGACTGCATTCTGTAGTGGCTTGCCACGAGAGCCTATTGCAGGGACGAAAGAGAGTTTAGAACTTGACAGACAGTGGCATTCTGACAAATGCTCAAAGTATACAAAATGGATCAGGCGAAATGCCGAAGCTGCGCTGAGTACCAAGAATGAAAAAGGGAAATTTGGTATGTGGTGGGGTGTACCGGCTACTCAGAGTTCATTCGCAGACTTTACAGAGAATCAGAACTCGGGAGATTCTGTAGATTATCGCAATACTGGAGTTCCAAAGAATGCCGAATGGAGAGGGGAAGAATACCCCAAAGAAGCGAGAGTAAGCAAGATTAGAGAAGGTGTAAATAACGATAGTGGGGTAGAAGATCCCAATGATCGAGGTAGAGGAAGAACTGTAGAAACTCAGGGTGGAGGATTATCTGTCTTGAGAGCATTATGGGAGGTAGAACTGAGATAAATGCATATATATATATATATAGCTATTTTGGTTGTTATTTTTTACAGGAGGATCGTCTAAGATTTCGGCGTTTATGTTTATAGCGAGATCTATTTATGAATTTCACTAAAGATTCTATTTCGCAAGAAACTTATTATTATTATTAGATATGTTCGTAGGAGAGTCTACTTTACTACCAGTGCAACTACTTCACTATGTGACTTTATCAAGCCTATTTTCCATGAAAGAAAGATGGATTAGAAAGATGGATGAGAAAGATGGATTAGATAGATTATTCCTTATTAAATTGTCCAAATACCTATCTAGTGACAGGTGGTCCCCTAAATAGCTCGAGACCCTTGAACCCTCAATACCAATATACACCCTCGACTTTCAGCCACAATCCAGAGCATCAGCCACAAGCGAATCGCTGAAGCTAGGTACCTCCCTAGGTATTCCTTTAGCCTCCACTGTGACAACGTTACCATGTTTCACTTCATTCAAACTGTCCTGATTTATTCATTTGATCTCATTGTTCTCTTGAAAGCTTACACATCTATCTTGGAGATATTTCATTGAGGATTTCGAGGACA